GAAACAAAAGAAAGAAAAGAGAGAGAGAAAGAGAGAAAAGAAAATTATTAAATTAAAAAATTATTAAAAAGTAATAAAGAAAAAAGAAAGAAGAGAGCAATCAAACCGAAAAACAAATCCACCAATGACAACAAGCACTAAAAGCCATACTAAAAAAAAAAAAACAAAAAACAGAAAGACAGAATTCTTAGACAAATGGTAAAAGCAAAGCTATACAGACAAAATCACACAAAGAAGCATACACATACACACTCAAAAAAAGAGAAAAAGGAAAAAAATATACATATCTATATATTAAACAAGAAAGGAAGAGAGCAACCAAATCTATAAACAAATCTACCAATGATAGTAATCTCTAAATACTAAACTAAGATAAACATAAAACCAGAAACATATTAGATGCAGAAAGCAAACCCCAAGTCTGCAGTTGCTCCCAAAGTCCACCGCCTCAATTTTGGAATGATTCGTTGTCTATTCAGGTATTCCAGAGATGCAGGGTACATCACGTTGATTGTGGAGATTTAATCCGCTGCTCCTGAGGCTGCTGGGAGAGATTTCCCTTTCTCTTCTTTGTTTGCACAGCTGCTCGGGTTCAGCTTTGGATTTGGCCCTGCCTCTGCATGTAGGTCACCTGAGAGCATCTATTCTTTGCTCAGACAGGACAAGGTTAAAGGAGCAGCTGATTAGGGGGTTCTGGCTCACTGAGGCTGGGGGGAAGGGAGGGGTAGGGGATGCATGGCAAGCTTGCGGCGGCAGATGCCAGCGTGACATTGTACCAGCCTGAGGCAAGCCATGTGCTCTCCTGGGGAAGTTGTCCCTGGATCACAGGACCCTGGCAGTGGTGGGCTGCACAGCCTCCTGGGAGGGGAGGTATGGATAGTGGCCTGTGCTTGCACACAGGCTTCTTGGTGGCTGCAGCAGCAGCCTTAGCATCTCATGCCCGTCTCTGGTGTCTGTGCTGATAGCCGTGGCTCGCGCCCATCTCTGGAGCTCGTTGAGGCAGTGCTCTGAATCCTCTCTCCTCGTGCACCCCAAAACAATGGTTTCTTGCCTCTTAGGCCGTTCTAAGCTTTTTTCTGGACTCCCTCCCAGCTAGCTGTGATGCACTAGCCCCCTTCAGGCTGTGTTCACATGGCCAACTCCAGTCCTCTCCCTGGGATCCGACCTCCGAAGCCCGAGACTCAGTTCCCAGCCCCCACCTGCCCTGGCGGGTGAGCAGACAAGCCTCTCAGGCTGGTGAGTGCTGGTCAGCACTGATCCTCTATGCAGGAATCTCTCCACTTTGTCCTCTGCACCCCTGTTGCACTCCCCTCTGTAGCTCCAAACCTTCCACGCCCGCCACCCCTCATCTCCACCAGTGAAGGGGCTTCCTAGTGTGCGGAAACTTTTCCTCCTTCACAGCTCCCTCCCAGAGGTGCATGTCCCATCCCTATTCTTTTGTCTCTGATTTTTATTTTGCCCTACCCAGGTACATGGGGAGTTTCTTGCCTTTTGGGAAGCCTGAGGTCTTCTTCCAGCATTCAGTAGGTGTTCTGTAGGAGTTGTTTCACATGTAGATGTATTTCTGATGTATTTGTAGGGAGGAAGGTGATCTCCACGTCTTACTCCTCCACCATCTTGAAGGTCTCTCCAGGCTTTTCTTCTTTTTTAGGCTGAATAGTATTTCATGGTATATACATATATATATACACACACAATGAATACTCTTATATTTAATTAATATAATTATTATATTTAATATTGATTAATTATAATTAATATTAATAATTATATTAATATATCATATATAGTCCACATATTTTTTATCTATTCATTTGTCAATGGACACTTAGGTTGTTTCAATGTGTTGGTCATTGTAAATAATGCTGCAATGAACATGGGAGTGCAGATATCTTTTTGAGATAGTGATTTTGTTTCCTTTGGATAAATACCCAGAAGTGGAATTGCTGGATCATATGGTGGTTCTATTTTTAGTTTTTTGAGGAATTTCCATACTGTTTTCCATAGTGCCTGTAACCAATTTACATTCCCACCAACAGTGCAGGAGGATTTCTTTTTCTCCACATCCTTGCTAACACTTGCTATTTGTAGTCTTTTTTTTTTTTTTTTTTTTTGTGCGGTACGCGGGCCTCTCACTGTTGTGGCCTCTCCCATTGTGGAGCACAGGCTCCGGACGCGCAGGCTCAGCAGTCATGGCTCACGGGCCCAGCCGCTCCACGGCATGTGGGATCTTCCCAGACTGGGGCACGAACCTGTGTCCCCTGCATTGGCAGGCAGACCCTCAACCACTGCGCCACCAGGGAAACCCTATTTGTAGTCTTTTTGATGATAGCCACTCTGACAGGTGTGAGGTGATATCTCACTGTGGGTTTGATTTGCATTTTTCTAATGATTAGTGGTACTGAGCACATTTTCATGTACCTGTTGGCCATCTACAAGTCTTTTGTGGAAAAAAAAGTCTACTCAGTCCCTCTGCCAATTTTTTAATTGAATAGTTTTTTTGGTTTGTTTTATATTCCTTTTGAGGGTTTTTGTTGTTGTTGTTATTGAGTAGTATGAATTCTTTACATATTTTGGATATTAACTCCTTATCAGATATATGGTTGATAATTATTTTTTCCCATTCTGTAGGTTGCTGTTTCATTTTGTTGATGGTTTCCTTTTCTGTGCAGAAGCTTTTTAGTTTGATGTTTATTTATTTTTGTTTTTGTTGCCTGTTTTTGGTGTCAAATCCAAAAAATCATTGCCAACGCTGATGTCAAAATCTTACTCCCTGTGTTTTCTTCTAAGAGTTTTATGATTTCAGGTCTTACATTAAAATCTTTAACTCATTTTGTGAATGGTATAAGTTAGGGATCTGGTTTCATTCTGTTGAATGTGGCTGTCCAATTTTCCCAGCACACTTTACTGAAGAGACTATTCTTTTCCCATTGTATACTTTGGCTCATTTGTCATAAATTAATTGACTGTATATGCTTTGGTTTATTTATGGGCTCACTATTCTGTTCCATTAATCTATGTGTCCATTTGTATGCCAATACTATACTATTTTTGATTATTATAGCTTTGTAATACAGTTTAAAATCAGGAAATGTGATATCTCCAGCCTTGTTCTTCTTCCTCAGGATGGCTTTGGCTATCTGAGGTCTTTGGTGATTCCATATAAATTTTAGAATTGTTTGTTTGATTTCTATGAAAACATGCCATTGGAATTTTGATAGGCATTGCATTGAATCTGTAGATTGCTTTGATAGTGTGGAAATTTTTACAATATTAATACTTCCAATGTATGAGCATGGAAAATCTTTCCATTTATTTGTGTTTTCTTCCATTTCTTTCATCAGTGTCTTATATCTACAGTATACAGGTCTTTCACTTCCTTGGTTAAATTTATTTCTGAGTACTTTGTTGTTTTGATGAAATTGAAAATGGAATTGTTTTCTTAATTTCTCTGCCAGATAATTCATTTTTAGTGTATAGAAGAAACACAATAGATATTTTTATATTAATTTTGTATCCTGCAAATTTACTGAATTTATTTATTAGTTCTAACAGCTATTTTATAACATTTTTAGGGTTTTTTATATATAAGATCATGTGATCTGCAAATAAATGCAGTTTTATTTCTTCCTTTCCTATTTGGATGCGTTTTATTTCTTTTTCTTGCCTAATTACTCTGGATAGGACTTTCAATACTATGTTGAATAAAAGTGGAGACAGTGGACATCCTTGTCTGGTTCCTGATCTTAGAGGAAAAGCATGTCATCATTGAGTATGATGTGCACTGTGGGCTTGTCATATATGGCCTTTATTATGTTGGAGTATGTTCCCTCTATACCCAGTTTGTTGAAAGTTTTAATCATAAATGGATGCTGAATTTTGTCAAATGCTTCTTGTGTATCTGTCAAAATGATAACATGAATTTTCTCTTTTATTCTTTTAATGTGGTGTATCACATTGATTGATTTGTGGATGTTGAACCATCCTTGTATCCCTGGAATAAACCCCACTTGATCATGTTGTTTGAGCCTTTTAATGTTTTGTTGAATTCTGTTTGCTGATATTTTGTTGATTGAAACCATTTTTTGTATAACAGCTTTATTGAGATAATTCATACCATACAATTCATCCATTTAAAGTGTACAATTCAGTTGAAATCTTTCTTTAAATATAATATATTGTGGACTTTTTTTCCATTTCAAATATTATAATTCTACAGCATCACTTTAATGGTGGCATGGTATTTCTGTATATCTCTGTATCATATTCTAAATAATTCCCTATCTTTTTCCACATGAAAGTTGTTTCCACTCCTTTTATTATCATAAAAATACTTTGACAAGCATTCTTAGAGCTAAGTCTTTGTTGATATTCCTAAATTCTGGGTTTCTAGGACAAAATATATACACAGTTTAAAGGTTTAATACATATCACCAAAGTCTTCTCAAACAAGTTGCAAAGTGAATGTATACTCCCACAAGTATGTGAAGATATTCCACCACTACATTTTGATCCTTCTTTACCTTTACCTTCATAGGGTTCTCATCTGAGTGGAGGGTACAAGAAGGTTGTAACCAATTTCAGGTTCATCAAACACCAATATGCACCATAATGGTTAGTCTGGTCAAAAGAAAGCATTAGTTCCTTGAGGGAACCAAATATCTATAGAAAAGTTACATTGCAAAAGGGCATTGGGAAGATCTGGAGTATGGGAAGTAGCCATGCGTAAGCAGATCCAGAGGAAGTTTTGATGCAGGTCACCTTCTGTGACCTGTGATTGGGAAGGAGGAGGGATATTAAAGGGAAGAACAGGGGTCTGGAATCCTTGAACCATCTACCGATAATTTTGCTAGGGCTAGCCTTGGAGGTATGGAGTCTTGCCAATACTATCTTGGTAGCCTCCTGGCCACTTTTAGGGAATGGATTTCAGCTGATGTGAAAGTGGAATGCTTTTCTTCTACTGGATGGATATTCAGCAAGCTGTTTTTACTTTCATTTAGACCTCTCATAGACTTGGAAATTCCACCTAAGAGAAAAAGTCAGTATCAGCCTCAATTAGACCAACAAACTCTCATTCAATACATTTGTTTTCGAAGACATTCAAAGCCTGCTGAGCCATGGTATAAAGAAACTACGTACCAAAGAGACTATTCTTTGCCATTTTACAAGATGGGTAAGTCAGATCAAGTGTTCTTACTCTCTGAGAGCAAAACCTTGCCTGGGCCACAGATGAGCATCTCCCATGGGCTTGCCGTCTCAGGGAGTATGTCTGGGACCAGTCACGTTGTGGGGGAGGGGGATGCGTATGTGTCTGGGTGCAGGAAGAAGGATTTAGAGAGCTGCCCCCAGACCGCTTCCTCCTTTCCTCCTCCCCTAGCTCCTTGTACAGGAGACTTTAAGACTGAAAATTCATAAATGTCCTTGGTAGGAAGCAAACTTGAGTCTGACCACTCCTCAGAGCACTTTATCACTTGACAAATTTGTTATTGTGCCTAAACATATTGTTAGACGAATTTTCCCCCCTCATTCTCCTATTTTAAATGGATTTCTGACAATTATTTGAAAACTGGAGGTGTGTTTCAAAAATTCTAACTTCCCTATGTAGTATTTCTCCATGCTGCAGCCTGTGTGAGAGTACTGAGGGGCCGAGGCCCCCCACAGATATGACCCTGGGGGGTACACATGGACATGACCTGAAACATTACCTGTATTTCCGTAGTCACTGACACTTTGGATTTTAGTCACGGAATGGATTCCTTTGTTGACAGACTTTCTAAATGAGTAAACCCCAATATTTCTGAGGCTCTGACAGTGTGGCAGGCACATATTTTGTTCTTCTAACAGCTCTCTGAGGTAAATGCTATTATTTCTTGGTCACTGTAAACAGTGACCAAGTTGCAGAGACAGTTAATTAACTAGCCCCAAATCACAGTACCTAGGAGAAGCAGAATTCAGCCCCAGGCCAAGCTCTGTGCTGGACCTTTAAGCTATATTGCCTCTGTCACAGCTGAGAATCACTTGTACTACTATTTATTCAACAGTTTTCTTTAAAGCGAGCCACTTTTTATCTTAAAATTAAAAATAAGAAAACTAGTAGAAGGATGGTGGGGAGGAATGGGAATAATCTGCCCTCCTTCTTGTCTCTCCTGAGAAAAAAGCTGCAGCCTGGATGGGATGCCAGAGCAGGGCTGGGACTCAGGTCCTGAGGGGACAGCAAATGACAGCAATCAGAAAGAGTGGGAACCCAGCAGGACCAGGCAGATCTTGGGGAGTTGAGCCAGGCATAAGGGTGGTAATGGATGAAGCTGAGATTGGGGCCAGAGATTGACTGGAGGAGTGTGGGATAAGGGCAAACCTGGCTTCTGGGGGGGTGAGAGAAGGTTGGAGCCTGAGAAGAGAGTGAGCTGAGGGAATGGGGAGGAGGGTGAGAGCTGAGATTAAGTCATTTGGAGGAGGGTGGTAGGAGTTAGGGTCCCACAGGCAGGGGACCTTAGGAGGGTTATGTTGTTGGTTTTTTGTCACATCTTTATTGGAGTATAATTGCTTTATAATGTTGTTAGTTTCTGCTGTATAACAAAGTGAATCAGCTATACGTATACATATATCCCCATATCCCCTCCCTCTTGTAGGAAGGTCGTGTTAAAGGGAGCCAGCCGTGGGGTGGGGGGCACTGCCGGGGCTGAGGAGAGCTTGGAAAGAAGGGGTGGTCCGGAAGTGTTAGTGGGGCTCCTGTCCCTGTAGAACAGCCAAAGCAGTTTCTTGACACTGAGTGTGAAATCTGTTTTCCTTTGTATGAGGGACTCTAGGTGGCCTCTAGTTTCCAAAGTGATAGTAAACACTTCTTTACAATTCCTCTGCTATGCGGAAGTCTTGTCAGGCAGACACAAAAGGTTTCTCCCTTGCTTATTTTAGAAGACAATTCCTAATTCTTTCCAAACCTATAGAACAAAGTTAACGTCTAGCAAAGCAAATACCTGGGCTAGGTGCCATGGGAGGAGGTAAAAGTCCAGACTATGAGGTCAGCATCAGGGAGCTCACAAGCTAATTGGGAAGATGAGGCAACAGTCAACCTATCAGAGAGTGATTAAGTACCAAGTAGAGCAGCAGGAGTTCAAAGATGAGGTCACTGGGGCCTAGAAGAGCCAAGAAGGCAGCATGCACTAGTGGGGACTAAGGTCGGTCTTGACAGATGAGATGTGCATGGGAAAGAAGAAACAGGGCGACACACCAGAGGCAGCGGATGAGAAGAAGTTTGGGAGGTGTGTGAGGTCTGGGAGAGCAGCGGGGAATCCAGCTATGAGGACCTGGCTGGCTGGGCAAGGCAGAACTAGGAAGTGGGAAGGAAAATGTGGACAGTCAGAGGAGCTGCAGGAGTCTGGAAGGTTGAATTTGGACAATCAGAGCTGTTGTAGGATCAGAGTCCAGGGAGAAACCCAGTCAGCTTCAGAGGATGTTAGTCTGTCAGGCTGCTTAGCATGGGTGGGAGAAGACACAACTGGCAGGTGAGAAGAGCAGCTGGGAGGCCATGGCAGAACCGCGGGATGGAGTAGTGAGAGGCAGTGAACAGAATCCAGACCTTGGAGGGCTACAGGCCTGGCAGATTCTAGCTGCGTGCTGTTGGGCAAGACACTTGACTTTTCTGAACCTTTTTGTGTCTGTAAAATAGAGACTCAAGTCTACGTTTTAGGATACTTGCTAGAATTGAAAATATCTGTCATGTGCCCAAAACTGTGCTAAGTGATTTACTCATACGTGTGTCACACTCAGGGTTGCAGTGAGTTGTATTGCCCCCATGAAGTAGGTATTGTTATTAACCTCATTTAGCAGAAGAGGAAACGGAGGCTTAGAGACTTAGAAACCTACTCAAGCAAGCAACTGGTAAGTCATCAGTCTAGGTCATGTCTGGAGATGTCACACTCCCAGACCTTGCTCTTAAAGTGAACTGAGGAAGTTTCATGGGAAATGGGAAGAAAACTCATGTGGCAAAGCATCAGGAGAGAGAAACGACAGTACTGGTAGAGAATTCACAGGAGAGAAATTAAAGCTAATCGCACAGCCTCCCACTTCTACTGCAAGATTGTTGGTGCCTCTGATAGAAATAATGGTTTTAGGCAGAAGAAGTGTCAAGCTGGGATCTGTATACAATTGAAAATATGGTACTGGAAAGTGTAGGCTAGGCAACACGAGAAGACAGAATTGGCTAGTGCCCTATTTAGTGAGGTTTGGAGCCTGACTAATTCAAGAGAAAATTTATGTTGAAATATTCATTGCTCCATTCATTGACTCATTGACTGTGTGTATGTTAGTTATCTATTGTGCAGAAACAAATCATTCCAAAACTTAGTGACTTAAAACATCAGTGATGATGCTTTTTATCTCTCATGGTTTTGGTGGGTTAGGATTTGAGAACTGCTCAGGTGGGCAGTTCTGGCTTAGAGTCTTTCTCAAGGTAACAGTCAGTGTCAGTGAGCGCTTCATCCTCTGAAGGCTCAGCTGGGGCTACAGCACCCACCCTCAAGGTGACTCACTCACATGGTTGTCAGGTGTGACTACTCACAGGGTTGTCACAGGCTGGCTGGGGACTGAGGCCTCAATGCTTTTCCAGGTGGGCCTTTCCAGGCTGAGCGTCCTGATGGCATGGCAGTTAGCTTCCCCTAGAATGAGTAATCTGAGATAAAGTTGGGAACTGCAATGCCTTTTATGGCTTAGGTTCAAAAGCCTTAGGTTCAAGAGTCACACAACACTCAGCCCTGAAGCAGTGTGGGAGGAAAGGACCCAAGGCACGGATACCAGGGGGTGAGAATCACTGGGGTCCATCTTGGAAGCTGGCAATCATAAGATGATTCAGTCATTGATTGTACTAGTCCAGTACAAACTAGACACTGTGCTGTCTGCTGGGGATACAGTGACCGGGATAGACAAGACATCTGCTTTCATGGAGCTGACATTCTGGTGGGGAATATGGAGCATAACGGAGTACTTCTTTTTTTTTTTCAATTTTAGATTGTAGTAGTGCTATAAGGGAAGTAAACAGAGTGATGAGTGTAGCCAGGGGATGTTACTTTTAATAGTGCAGTCAGGGAAAACCCCTATGCAGTTTTCGCTGAGTCCTGCAAAATAAGAAAAAATCATGTAAAGAGCATTTCAGGAAAAAGAAACAGTAAGTGCTGAAGCCTGAAAGCTGGAAAGGGCTTGGCATGTTTGAGGAACAGAAAGGAGGCCAGTGTAGTTTGGTGGGTAGTCAGTGAGAGTGAGAGTGGTAAGATGTTTGGATTCTGTTCCAAGAACAATGGAAAAACTTGGAAGAATTTTGAACAGAGGAGTGGCATATCATTTGTATTTTAAAAAGATCAGTCTGCCTGCCATTAAGACACTGTTTGGAGAGGAACAAGAGGGAGGGTTTGCAGACCAGTGAGGAAACTGTTTAGTAGTTGAGACCAGAGGTGATGGTGGTTCAGACCAGCAGTGAAGACGAAAAGGGACAAATGGGTTCCAGAGATATTTTGGAGCTTACATCAGTTGAACTCACTGATAGATTTGATGTCAAGCACATTTTCATTCATTCATACATATTCCTTCAGTAACTAATTTGAGAGCCTAACTATATGCCAATCAGTGCGCAAGGTTTCATCAACACCATGTGAAGCAGAAATAGATACAAAGTTTCTACATTCAAGGAGCTTCGGTGGGGAACCAGCATAGAAATAAGCATAAAATTTCACCTGTCATAAATCCTATGAAGCAGAATTTATGTGGTGCTATAGGAGCATATAACAGGTCAGAGAAATGATAAGTTGAGAGCTGAAAGATGAGCTAAAAGTTAACTAGGCAAGGAACAGGGGAAGAGCTTCACAGAGAGTGCAGCATATGCAAAGGCACTGTGTTAAGAGCATGACATGTTTGAAGAACTAAAAAAAAAAATGAGTGTGGGGGCTTCCCTGGTGGCGCAGTGGTTGAGAGTCCACCTGCTGATGCAGGGGACGTGGGTTCGTGCCCCGGTCCGGGAAGATCCCACATGCCGCAGGGCGGCTGGGCCCGTGAGCCATGACTGCTGAGCCTGCGCGTCCGGAGCCTGTGCTCGGCAATGGGAGAGGCCACAACAGTGAGAGGCCCACGTACCAAAAAACAAAAAAAATGAGTTTTTTGGAGCCCAGAAGTCAAGAAGGATATGGCTAAAGAGATGGCAAGGTCAGAACAAGGAGGGCTTTACAGGCCATTTTCAGGTTTGGGGCTTCTAGCCTGAGATTAATGGGAAACATTTGAAAAGTTTTAAAGAGGGTGGAGGTGACACGATTAAAATTGCATTTTGAAAAGATGACTCCAACTGTGAGGAAGAAAAAGGGGGCGGGATGGGGAGTAGAGTAGGGCAAAGATTGAATATAAAGGGTCAGGAGGCAATTGCAGGGGTTAGGCTGACAGTTTTTAACCTCAGCTACATCACTTCTAAAACTCCAGATGCCCAGGATATACCCAATACCAATTAAGTCAGAATCTCCTGGTGGGAGGGAGAAGGTCCCAGGCATCAATAATTTATAAAAATTCCAGATAATTCCATTGTGCAGCCAAGTTAGGAACCAGTGCTATAGGCAACTGATGATGGGAGGCAGTGATACCGACCAGGGTTCTTGGCCTTCCCCAATCAGTAGAAATTGACTAGAGGCCAGACCAGAAATTCAGGCAAGACTTTATTGGGGCTCCTGTGCCCACCGGCCACAGGAGGGACCAAAAACAAGTAACACGTTCCCTTGCTGGTTCCCCAACGGGGTGCGCGAGCTAGTTCCTTATATGGGGCGAGGGTAGGGGTGTGTCCAGGGGGGCTGCAGGCGTGCTTAGGTGTTTTTCCCACCCCTTTGGTGGTGGTGTGTGCAGGGGGCACGTCCAATACCCTGCTTTTGCTCTCGGCTCTTCAGAAGTGGCAGTTGGATTTTTTTTTGGTCTCTTTGTATCTTGTTGTCCATAATTTGCCCCAACTGTGCCTGCACGCAGTCATTTTTAGTCCCTTATTGTCCCTTTGTATTTTGTTGCTTGGGGAGAAGTTCGTCCAGGTGCAAGCACTGCAGCAAAGGGTGCCAGGTTCCAGCTTGTCTCACTTCTGCCTGAGAGACTCTACACGCTTATTCTTTTTTTTTTTTAAATCAATTTATTTATTTTATTTTTGGCTGCACTGGGTCTTCGTCACTGGGCGCGGGCTTTCTCTAGCTGCGGTGAGCAGGGGCTACTCTTCACGGCAGTGGGCGGGCTTCTCATTGCGGTGGACTCTCTTGTTGCGGAACACAGGCTCTAGGCGGGAGAGTCAGTAGTTGTGGCTCATGGGATCTAGAGCGCAGGCTCAGTAGTTGTGGCTCACGGGCTTAGTTGCTCCGTGGCATGTGGGATCTTCCCTGACCAGGGCTCAAACCCATGTCCCCTGCATTGGCAGGCGGATTCTTAACGACTGCGCCACCAGGGAAGCCCTACACCTTTATTCTTAAGGGGTAAGGGGCCGAAGTTCTCTTCTGAAATTTCTTCCTGCTGGACAGGGGCCACAGACCCTAGCCTACCCTAGAGGTGTATGAGTCCCTCACTGACTGTCCCAAGGACCTGTAGGGACCTGGGCCACTCTCTGCTGGAATGGTTTGAATTCCTTGAGCCATCATGAGACTTACCTCAAACTGTTGGAGCCTAGAAGACACAAATTTAACCAAAAGGTTAAACAAACCAGGGCTAAAAAGGAGGAGAACAACAAACCCTTTTTTGCTGCGGGAAATCAAATGCTGTTCACATTGGCAAGTGAGAGGCCCAGTAAAGTAATGGGTGTGAGGCTTTCTGTCAACACCAGTCACTGTACAGCTTTTAGAGGAGAGAAGTCCAGTGTGAGAGATCAGGACAGAGTAAGTGGCTCCCGTGTCAATTAAAAAATTGATTTTCTTACCTGCCATGTTAAGGACCACCAAGGCTCCTCAAAGGAGATAGACATCTTGTGAAGGGGAGTTGCCAGAACCCCCGGGCCACCTCAGTCATCCAGCATGGCCGTATTGGGAGTGGGAGTCCCCGCTTCGCCTTTGGGATAGGAGAAAGTCTCACTTCCAATGACCTGTTTGTTTACAGACTGCGCATGGACCAGGGGCCTTTTTTTTTTGGCACTCCTGGGCCCAGTGGTCAGTTGACTTACATTTGAAGTGTTCCCCCTTGTGGGATGGATGGTTAAACTTCCTTGGCCCCTTTAGGTTGCCTTGAGGTTACATGGCATGACAGACAGCAACAGCTATCAGTTTAGCATGAGCCCTGGCCTGCCTGTTTTCACCTTGGGTTCTCTCTTCTTCCTCAGCTTGATCTCGATTATTAAGTACCCCAAAGGCCACCCCTAGGAGTTGGGGCCTAGGGGTTTGTGGGCCTAATTGTAGCTTCTGGAGTTTCCGCCTAATATCAGGAGCATACTGGCTGATAAAACGTTGTCCCAGCAGGGATTGACCCTTGGGAATGGACAGCTCAATATTAGTAAATTTTCTAAAAGCCTCCATAAGCCGCCCTGAAAGAGGGCTGGATTTTCTTTTTCTTCTTGGGTCACTCTTTTAACCTTTTCATAGTTAATTGGCTTTTTTTTTTTTTTTAATTTATTTATTTTTGGCTGTGTTGGGTCTTCGTTTCTGTGCGAGGGCTTTCTCCAGTTCTGGCGAGCGGGGGCCACTCTTCATCGCGGTGCGTGGGCCTCTCACTGTTGCAGCCTCTCCCGTTGCGGAGCACAGGCTCCAGACGCGCAAGCTCAGTAGTTGTGGCTCACGGGCTTAGTCTCCACGGCACGTGGGATCTTCCCAGACCAGGGCTCGAACCCGTGTCCCCTGCATTGGCAGGCAGACTGCCAACCACTGCGCCACTAGGGAAGCCCTTAACTGGCTTTTTTATATACTTTCTCATCCCTTCTAATACCCATTGGATCATGTGATTTCTGGCTTCTGTTCCCTCCCAGGAATTATCATTCTAATGGGGCTCCTGATTTGGGAATGCATCTCCTCCCATAACAAAAAGTTCGTGTTGGTCCCCGGCAAGCTGGTCAGTGCGCCCCTGGGCTGCTGCCCAAATTCTGTGTTTCGCCTCAGGGGTACAGCAAGTAGATAGGACTATCTGGACATCCTTCCAAGTTAAATCAAAGGCCAGAGTTAGGGCCTGAAACCCTTCAGCAAACCTTGACTAGGGTCTTCAGAAAATCAGCCAGTCTCTGTTTGCATTGGGCTAAGTCAGTTAAAGAGAAGGGCACATGTATTCTGATTGTCCCTTCACCTTTTGCCACTTCCCTAAGAGAGCATATTTTTCCTGATCCTGGGTGCTAGGAAGCTCCACTGTGAGTTACCTCAGAGGGACTAGTCTCTCCTTTCTGGGGTAATGGAGCATATAAAGGGACATAGGGAGGTGGAGTTTGGGATTTGCCAGAGGGATCTGGAGAAGTAGGTGCCTCTGGGGAAGTAGGTGGCTCTGGAGAAGCAGTGGAGACTTGGTTTCCCCCCTGAGAACTGGGGAAGGTTAGAAGGGGATCATCTAAAATGTTGGGAGTGTTTTCTGATTCCCCAGGCTTTTGATTACAGGAGCCACATAGAGCAGGGGTTTTGGTAAAGGACCATGAAGGCTCGAACATAGGGAACCTCAGTTCATTTTTCCATCTTGCAACAGTAAAGATCCAATTGCAAGATGATATTGTAATTTAGAGACCCATTTTCAGGCCATTTTTATCCATCCCCACAACTTATATAAAGGCCAGGCAGTGTTACAGTAAAGTAAGTTTCCCCCTTTTTAGCCCATCTAGTTTTTAAAATTTCCAGTTTTTAAGAATACATTCCAGAGGTGTTTCTTCCAGATTAGAAGAGGGTCCTTCCATGTTGAGTAACCTGCAACCAAGAAAGAGCACTCCTAGATATGAAGTCTGGTGTCCTGGAGACATTTTACCAGGAGGCCTTTGTCAGAAGGGGGTTGGAGTGTCTTCCAAATTCCCTTCTTACCTAATGGGATTTTGAGCGTCCTCTACTTTCCCATCAATTCCTAACCAGACATCTCTGGTCGATCCTGTCCCTCATGCAAGGGCTCAGTGCCAGCACGTTGCCAGGGCTCTCCTTGAGGGGGATCTGTTATCTATAAATCTTATGTCTTATAACAAGTTTCCCTAGGTTGGGGTGTATTCCTCAAGAATGAGCTTCTATAAAGCCTAGGATGTGGGCTGCTTGGAAGTGGCCAGCCCAATAGGTAGTCTGTAACAAGGTCTGGGCTGCCAAGGCCTGGAGTGAAGGGGGTCCTAGAGGTGCAAAAAGGAACTCCTGGAGGAATTGGAGTTGGGCGTAATGAAAAATGCCACAGGAGTCAGGACCTGAGGGCCTAGAGGTGGAAGTATTCCCATAGGGGATTTCTGGACATACAGTAAGGCGAGAGACTAGACAGCAGAAGAACCCAAAACCCTTTCCCCTACCTGTTTGGTGGTTACGATAAAACTGGGGAGAGCCTGATGATTCCATTTGACACGGGCAACAGCGAGTTTGGACAACGTTTCCCATGTAATTTAACATACCAGTTGAACCCAATTAGTTTAGGATCTCTCTTTGGGTTGCTCCAAGGGCCATTGGAAGCACCCCAAAGTTAGCTGGAGGTCAAAAGAACTTGATATTTGGGAAGTCTGTCAAAAATTTCAAAAAGTTTTAAAACAGCCAATCAGATAGAATCATAGGTCACCATGAAAAAATTATTCCTTGAGCTAAGGTGAAAGAAAAGATTGCAAAAGTAAATACAGATCACTTAAAGGCACAGAAACTCACACAATCTGTTATCAAAAGCAGCATTCCAGGAAAACTTTGCTCTCTTATGAGAGAGAGAAACCAAATCCAGTCTTGCATCCACCTACTCTTAATAAAATCCATTTACCTAACTGAATTTAATCCAACCTTAGAAAATCCTGAGCACATACAAAATTCTCTTCTCAGTGTTCCTTTTCCACAAACCTTCTGCAAATTTCTGTAGCCATATTTTGTCCCTTATTTTTTCCATTCAGAAACAACCAGCTCTAGGACAAAATCATCCTTTTTTCCTTTCAACAAAATATATTTCCACTCCTCATACCTTCTTTTCTGAAAACACACATCCTATTTTCCTTAAGCCACCATGAACTGTCTTTTACATTAGCCTTCTATAGCTTGGTAGAGAACATCTCAAGGTGGCACCAAACATCTTTAGTTTCTCTCTCACAAGAAGACAAAAGTAGGTAAAGTTAGACATGTTTAACAATTAATGTTCCAAAATTTTATCTTATCTGAAATGGCCTGGATATTCAATGAATTCTTAACATTTAACTTAATTTTGTTTCAAGTTACCAAAATTTGGAGAGACTATTTTAGATGGACATTACCAAAACATAATTATTCCTATAGAGTTTAACAAAAAGCTCTTATCTCAGTTACATTTACTTAAAAGTTTAATCATATCAGGTTATTTTCCCTGTTGAGAAATTTCATAACAGAAACAATATGCGTTTATTGACTTTCAATAGCCCTAGGTACAATGAAAGTATTGTGCTTAATGTTGATGTCTCTAAAGACAGGTCTGTATTAATTAAGACCACAAGCTTAAGCTAGCTCTAATACCAAATATTAATTCAATATTAAATATTTCCCAGATCACATGAACCTGAAATGTATTCTAGTGAGCTTCTTTTATATTTCTGAGAATGCATATAAGCACTCAATTTCTTTTAAGCAAATTAAATACAGCTCATTTACAAGTTAATTTTTACATAAAGACAGACAGAACCAGAGATCTCACAGTTTTTCTGCTTGAATTTAAAATGCCTCTTTTTTTTTTTTTTTTTTTCCCTCAGTCTGGAGAACTACAGATGGATCAGGTAGTTCCTGAGAGCCCAGGCAGAATAGTTACATTGCAAAGGCAGAAGAGAGATGCAAGCTCCTCTCCGTTTCTTTTGTTTGTTTGTTTGTTTTTTGCGGTACGCGGGCCTCTCACTGTTGTGGCCTCTCCCGTTGCGGAGCACAGGCTCCGGACGCGCAGGCTCAGCGGCCATGGCTCACGTGCCCAGCCGCTCCGCGGCATGTGGGATCTTCCCGGACCGGGACACGAACCCGCGTCCCCTGCATTGGCAGACAGACTCTCAACCACTGCACCACCAGGGAAGCCCAAAGTGTAAGGTTTTTTTATCTTATCCATTGACCAGTCTTTGTGATCAGATTTTAAGGGCAGAGCTTATGTCTAGATTAGCAATGATTTGCATTTCATGTGCAGTTCTTATCTCTTTTGGGAACAGTTGAAGAACAGATTATGTATAGATTATGATAGATCATGGTTATTGCCTAAGAAATTCTTCCTCAGTAAAATTCTTTCTCAGCACATAGGGTTCATTTATTTATTTCGGAAATATTTATCAAGCATTGACTATGTGCAAGACACAGTAGAAGAGATGAAGACTTTGTCCTCAGAGAATTAATAGCCTGGAAGGCTTAGATGGCCCCTCAGATGAAAACTGCCTTTGTTTTATGCACCCTGGTGCCAAATAATTCAAAAACCCCATTCTTCCAAAATAAAATATATTCTTTCAGCAGCAGTGTGACCCTTAGACTCTCTGACCTTCAGTTTTCTCATGTGCAAAAAGGATAAAAATAGTATCTACCTAATAGAATTGAGATACCCGTATAATTTAGCATTGTGCCTGTACATAACATTAAGAAACCTCCAAAAAGCAGAACTGTTGGTGACTGTAGACAAGGGGTTATAAGACATGAGGGAACTCCATTGGGTATGAATTTAGGGACGTAACAACTGCAGTTTGATACAAAGATGATACAAAGTGGCCTGTTTATAATGTAGGGCTTAAAGGGGTGGGGGGGTTGTCTAGAATTAGAATGTAAGCATGCAAATTTATATGATTTATTTCGTTTTATTTACACTTTGGAATAATCCAATAATATGCTTCTTAATCAGAGATTGAACCACAGAAATAACCTTCTAAATCCTTTTTTTCCACATCTTTTAAATATATTCCTTTGTCTTAAATCCTGTAAATTATTTTGTTATTGCACACAATTGTTGAAAGGACAGTGTGTTAAAATCAAGTAGTCTTAAAATAAATCATTAATTTGTTTTACATTCCAGATGGGGACCAGAAATTAGCCAGTTTCATCGAATCCTAGACCACTTAATTCACTGCCAGGGCATTACTGTTGTGAAGAGAGGTGGCTTTGAAAGAAAGGCTTTTAAACTAAAGTAACCACGGCATTTGAACAAAATAACATTTGGCATTCTTAAGTGGCTCTTTTAGACTGAAATAATGGTAACAGAACTACTTTTAAGTGTATATCCAGATGGCTACAATCCTAAAATATTTACATGTTGCAAATTCTTTTCACATTAAGTTGGTCAGCCTAGGGCAGGGAATCAAGATCAGCCTTAAGAAGACTTGTCACCTGTTCTTAATGCCCCACTACCAGACTTGTTGCTGGTGTTGGCAAACCATCTCACATTTAGTCCAGTGGTTTTATGTGGGACCAGGTAAGAATATAATTGCCTCCGCCCAATAACTGCATCACTGTTGGAAAAAAAAAGCAGCAGCAGCATCTGAGGATGTAGCTAAGGAGGAAGATTACTGGCATCACAGACCTGGAAGGTGATTTGGATGCAGAACCCCAGATATGACACAGGGCTGTAGTGAGATGTGGGGCTGGTAAAAAGAAAGATTAGTTGAAAGTCTAGATACAGGAGTTAACATCCCTATCCTGACAAGAATGCCTGACAACTAGGCATCAACTCCCTGGGCAAAATGCTAGAGGTTCTTCTCTAAGAAATGAAATGATCCCAAAGGAAAGAATCCTACATTCTGTTCCCTAGGGACCCCCCAGCATAGTAGTTGGTTCTTTACTCAACACCCCAAAGTGAAGTCTACCAGTTAATGAACTCACATATATATAATGAACTGTATATATATATACACACACATGTATATATACATGTATCTCCACTGTCTTAGTCTTAGTTGTGAACAGCCAACCAAGGATCACCAGAGAGTTGAAAAAATACTACAACATGAAAGACAAAGATCAAAATAAACAAAACAAACAGAAGAAATTATCCCAGAGGAAAAGGGAATTCAGGGAACAGAAAAGAACCTAAAACAAGCTAAAAAAAATTGCTTTATCATTTGACGAGATGGGTCAAAATAATTAAATTCATAAACATGAAAAAGCAATCTTTCCAAATCTCTTGGAAATTAAGAATGATTGCTAAAAATTAAAAATTTGACAGGATTTAGAAAAAATTCTGAAATATTCTATAGAGAATCGAAAAGCAAATAAAATGACTTAAAAAAAAAGACATAGAGTAACAAATCAGGTCCATCATCTAACTAGTAAGCATTCTAGAGACAGAACAACAACAACAAAAAATTAAGAGTAGAGGGAATTATCAAAGACACATTTTCACAGAGCTTAAGACCAGAAGCCTACCAAATGAAAGCTTTGCTTATCTTTCTATTAGTTGTCATGTCCTTATTTGAGGCAGCTCTTTGTGTTTTAGGGATATGTGTTGAAATATTTTTTCCCAAGTTTTACTTTTGTTTTTTCAGTTTTTTGGTTTATTTAAATTTCGTTCATAGTATTTTTAAAACTTTTAATTTGGTCAGATCTGTTTCAAACAAAAACAAGTTTCTTGTTTTTCTTTAGAAGGCTCTAAGATTATATATTTTCCTATATTACTTTTATTACTTAAAACTTTTATAATTTAGATTTTTATTCTATTACAAATTTCTACTTTATGTTGAGATTGTTTTGCTCTCACTCTTTTTAATGTATTCTTTTCCCAGTGAAACGAAATGCCTATATTAAGTCCCCATATACGTTGCATCTATTTCTGGAATGCCTAGTCCACCTCCCTTACGTATCTGTTCTTTCCCATGACAATATCACATACTCTGATTATAGTAGCTTCATACTGTTTTAATATCCGGTGAGTAAAAACCTCCTCTCTCAACACATTCCTTTCTCAAAAATATCTTAGGAATGCTTGCACATTCGTTTTTTCACCTAAGCTTCAGTATAATTTTGGCCGGTTACAAAGAACAACATGGCAATTCTGACTGGAATGGCATTAAATTCATATACTCATTTGTGAAGGACTGACATCTTCATTCAACTACATTAATCAATTAACATATAAAACATATATACTAAATAGGTCCTCTCCCCACTGAAATATCTCGTTCTGTCATTCATCTCCCTTCCACGAAGTTTCACGATTCAGGGTTTTGTTTCCAGTGGTTGTTCCGTGCTCTCCTTATGCCTCCTGAAGCATATGTACACATTTTGGCCTAGAGTCCTCTTCTTTCATACAAAACATGGTTTGGGTGTTTGGCATCACCGTCCTCCCAGTTTTTCTTGCCAACCTCATTAGCCTCAGCAGCCTCACCAGTCCCTCACTTATTTTGTTCAGTTGCTCAAACTTTCCAAATTATTTCCAGCCTCTGGGTCTTTGCATATGGACTACTTTGTACTTCGGCCACTTATCCTTTTGGACTGTTTCAATGCTATTTCTACTGAAGGCCTTCTCTGACCTTTTCCAAATTTAGGTTAGGTTCTCCTTCACAGCACTCTGGTTCTTTTCCATCCTGGCATATGTGTGTTCAGCATGCTGTCCTAACTACAATAAACTTTAGAAAGACTGTGTACTTGTCACCCACATACCTAATACCTGGCATATATACTTGCTCAACAAAGATTATTTTAATACAGTTGTCTATGATTTCAAAGACTGAACTGTATCTGAAGAACAGATCCTCTCAACCAGTTTAATCAGCAAACAGCTCACTTTTAAAGAGAAACAGGAGAATCACTCAAAATGGTCAAAAATATGTAAATGTGTATCAACATCAATAGGAAGGTTCCACTGTTTTGGTACAAAAACAAGACCACTCCTGACTTGAAGAGAGGGTTCTTTACGTTTGCTTCTGGACCATTACTAAAAATGTGTGTCAATAATGCAATGCTTATAGCCAAGATAATGGACTTTAAAAACTAATTATTAATAAAAATATATCTAGTGAAGATAAAAGACATTTAGATCCTTTCAAAGATTCTGTTTTTGATCTCTCCTCACCTTACCCCCACAGACTATAAAGATAAAACTCTTACATATACTAGTCGTATTACTATTACTTCTCTCATCAGAACAAAAATACAATACACAAAACATACTAGAAATAGTTGGTTCTTTTTAATCAGCTATTGATGGTATAATAAAATAAATTTAAGTGGCACCTAATTTAAACATTTAAAATAATTCATTGAAGGATAATCTACAACACAATATGTTAAGCCAGATAGTCAAAATAACACCTCTTTTTTTTTTTTTCAAGAAGAAATAAAGGCATGATCAACATTATGACCAACAATTTGGGTTCATTTGGACACTTACAGATGACTCTGTAGGCATATTGGCAGGCACGATGCTGAAATACAATCCACTTGACTTATAAATAATGGTAAGATAAAAAAAGAAAGCTATACATTTCAGAATTCTCTGAAATTAAAGAAGAATATCCACCAAATATCACAACAGATCTTTTAATGACTAATTTTTTTTTTAACATTACAACTGCTGTTTTAGGGAACACTTTTTCTCTTTGAACATTTAACTAAATGTTCAATGCGTTAAATAATTTACAGAGAGAAAAGAAATAAGTTTTGTGTTCTGTACAAATTAAAGGACCCATGAATATAACCCCCTCCCACCACCAAAGCTCAAATTTGCAATGGTCTCAGCAGAAAATAAACAGTTCACAATTTAAACAGAATTGATAGCATTACAAACGTTTACAGGACTCCTCTCTTATTTTTTTTGAACAACGAAGATTACAATGACAGAACTGAATGATCAGAATGTAAAAATATTTGTGCAAAACTGCATTAATTGTTCTTACCATTCAATAGAGGTAAAACCTATGAACACACAATAACAATAATGAAGAAAAACTACACTGAAAGTAATTCTGTTAGATTTCAAACAACATTGATCATAGTATTACTAAACATTAAAAGAAAATGTGGCAACATGAGCAGCAGAAGCAACAAATGATTCGGCAATTATGCCAGCTGAGGAAGCTGACGCTAGAAAATGCCGAAGTGCATCTCCACACCAGCCATCCATCTTACAAGACTGGAAACAACTGTAGGGCTTAAAACTCACTTCAGTGTCTTTATTCTTGAAATTTGTAGATCATAAATGAAATATTTAACAAAGTCCTTTCCCCCCCTCTCAAGGAGTGTTTCTTGCATCACTGGAAATCCTTAAAAGAGTTGAATCATAGACTCTCTGGATTTACCTACACCAATCCATTTAACTGGGAGAGGAAAAAAAAAATGGTATAAGAATAGTATTAATTCATTTACAATGTTCAATCTTTGAGATTAAAAGATCCCACACTTTTCTCAACGTCACCATTTATTTTTCCCCACTGTGTCTTTTGCTATCTTTTTTTCTCTATTAGCAGATTATGCCAATTTCTAAACAGAATGTGCAGTCAACATTCAGCACAGGGTAGTCTGCCTTACCATTTCCTGTTTTCATTGCACAATATTTACAACTATTCAATTTCTAATGATTAGTATAGTAAAATACTGGCCCAAACCAGCAGAGACCTAAAGAACCTAAAGGTTCTTTAATCAGAGACCTAACTTGATTAAAGAACCTTTCATCAAGTTCCTAATTAACTAGAAAAGATAAGCATCTTTGAAAAATGGATGATACTAAGAGGCCACTGAAGTACCACTCTAACTTTCATATCTCACAAAAAGTAGAAATATCTGGAAAAGAATACTGTTTTCACTTGCACAGCCTGAGAACTTGGCTACTGTACCAGTCTAGGGGAATCTCTAATTGTCTGCACCACATGGGTAAACCTTTATGGCATTTTACAGATGTCATTGTTAAATTCATTGTTGTTTATATTTCAAAAGATGTTGACTAAGTGCAGTGAGCAAACATGCTTACAAGATTTGATCTCAAGCTGGGAAACACAGCTAGTAATAAGGAAAAACAAGATTCATGTTTGGAGATGAACCACAAATATAACGAACAATACAAAATCAGATTAAGTGCATAACAGATTTTTATACAGAGGATACTTCCCACTCACTTCACTTTTTGTCTCTGAAATCTCTAACAGTGTAAAAAAAAAGGAAAAAGGAAAAAAGCAATGTTTTAAAAGAAAGATTTCACATAATGAGTCATAGCCATAACTTGGTTATGCCTAACTCCTTGGCCAGCTTACATTTGTTTTTTAATAAAGAGTTTTATTCTTTATTCTTATATTTTTTAAAATTGGATTTCCTATTTTATGTACCTATTATTTCCTAATATCTGGTCAAGAAAATCCCCCAACTCTCAAGGGTGGCTTAACCCGAAATGAAAAATACCAAAAACCATTTCTGGTGGTGGTAAAGACAAAAAGGATTTGTTATTAAGAGGGAGAAAGGAATAAGAATCAGTGTCAGAGGGTAAAAAACAGACTGACAGAGAATTAAAAGCAGGGTCAAAAGGGCGAGAGGTAATCTCTTATCTTCAGGCACATGAAGGATTAGAGAAAGATGATTATATTTACTCTAGGGAATAAAATTATTTTATATTTTCCTGGGCATTTGTGTAAATCGTGAGCACTCTATAAAGTAATAATCTGTTTTTTATCCTATTTCAAAAGTAGACAGTTAAGTCAAAAGTAGAAAAAGATAGTTCTTCATAAAATATTTATATTTACCTGGAATTTGAAGCTCATCTTCAATAAATCGAACATAATTTTGTGCATTAATAGGTAGTTCTTTAAAAGCCCTTGCATTTGATATGTCTGTGTTCCATCCTGGGAGAGTCTTATATTGAACTTCAACTTTATTTAAGACTTCTTGGTTTGCTGAAAGTTAAAGGAATAAGTATATTTGTCCATGGTGTACACTGCCTATTGTCAAACAACTTTTTGATATATCATAGGTTCACAATCTCTTATACTTAGAGCCAGATACGTTTTGGAATTTAGAATTTTTCAGAATTTAGAGAGGTAAAACAGTGCACCATCTAGTATTTTATAATCAAACATATTTCTGCAGCAACAGGATTATTCACTCTAAGTGGGTAGATTATTAGTTCTAATAACATCAGTTCAAGTCAGGTTTTGCCATCAAATAGTTTTGGTGCCAAATTCACAACTTTCAATTTTTAGAGCGTTTTAGATTTCCACACTATGGATTAGGGATTGTGGATCTGTATAATGGCAGCAATCTCACAGAAAAGGTTTGCATATCTGCCCTCACCTGGGAAATCTATTGTTCTTGTGAAGGTATACACAGGCTTTGCTGGAAATTTTCTTCATTATCTCACCTAACCAGTTTCTCTGTATTCCCTAATAGAAACCGAAAGGGTGCTAAAACAAGAACAGTTGCTTTGACGAGAGACAGTGTGGTGGATGCTATGGTACACTGTCCAGATTTCCCTCTTTGGGATTCAGACACTCATTCCCCAGCTATGGGAGTACTGCCTGCTGAGAACTCACAGTTCAGAATCTCCCCAGCTGTCTCCCTGGAGCAGCCCGTATCCAATGACTTGTCAGTGTGGGGATACAAAGGACCTGACTACTTACCTTAATTAGGGACCACTCTGAAAAACTATTCTAGCCCCAGAGCTCCCCTATGGGATCAGCTAAGGGCTTTTCATGGAACTTCTCTGCAGTTCAACTTCTCCCTCTGCCTAATCCCGCTTCTTCTCTCACTCCCTTACAGATTGCTCAGAGCACCTGCAAACAAACTACCTACATGTACATCTCTATATCAGAGAGTCTGTCTCCCAGGGAACCGAAAGGAAGACAGTTGGTGCCAGGAGTGGTATAAGGAAGAAGGCTCTAAAATGGGACCTTGAAGCTGGATCATTGGCTATGGCTGGCAAGGAGGATTGCTAGTGGCAGAAGAGTATGGATAATCTTGGGCATGTTATAGTAGGGCAACCGTTAAAACTTTCATGGGAGGTGAACTGGGATGCCACGGTAGGAAGTAAAGCACTCGCAATACCTGAAGCGCTGAGAAATGAGCACAATGGAACAACGGAATTGAAGGGCTCTAGGTGAATGCCATTCATGAACTGGAGAAAGACAATGAAAGATTACTGAAAACACCTAGAGAGAATCTCGTCTCCTATAGCAGAGAGCAGGAAAAGCTGAGGATCGGGCTTAGGACTTAGTCACACAGACAGCAGAGCTCCAGAGAAGGCTGAATTCTCAAATCCAGCAAATCTGCTGTGACAAGGCCAGATCCTGTTTGAGAAAAAAGCGGGACCCTAAGACTTTGGATGAGACATCCGGTTGAACCCCTAGGTTCGCCGATGGCCTGCAGAATGGCCTACTACTTTTGTTGAAGACGAAGGCTTCCCTTTGCGTGAGGAGGATGCAGAAGCCTCTGCCTTGCAAGGCAGCTTGTGGCCCTGTCAGGGCCTACCTCTATCTCCCCTCCTGACCAGCAAACAATAGGTACAATGTAAGTTGGCCAAGGATGCACGGGGCCTGCTAAAGGAGGAGACGGACTACATTCTGAAGGATCTGCAGGACTGAGCCAAGATTTACCAGTAGGAGCCAAAGAAGTATGTATGGAACTGGATCCTCAAGGTACTGGATCAAGGGGTCCTGAGAGTGGTGGGATAAAAAGTTCAGTAAGAGAGTATATTGATATGGAAGTTCTCTCCTATGATCCACGATACAAACGTGATGAAAACATACTGCTAGGAATGTTCTTGGACGCTTAGAGAAAGTGATGAACCACACTAAGTCAGAACTGTTTGTGATAGATGATAGAAGAAGGAATCAAAAGACTCAGAGGGGCTTCTCCTTCAGCCATGATGGAGTACATGATTCTAGACTAACTTTTCCAGCATAAATAACTGTAAAACTGGACAAAACATACGACAACTCTTTCCAGGCAGTGGTCAATAAGCAGCACAAACTGTGGTTTCCGAGAGAAAGAAAACTCGTAAGCAATTCCCGAAACTACTCAACTCTCTGCCTAAGGACAATTTCCTGATCAATGAAAGTCAGGACCCTGGAGTCAGTAGAGAATGGTGGTCCCACTGACCTGAGAAGGCAGATATCAGATTTCAGGGAAGCTGAAGTAGCTAGAATCCTCAAGGTTAAGCGTCAGACAGGAGGGAGCTATACAGACAGAGAGGGTACCTCCCCCAAAAGTCTGTGTGAAAGTCCTGTGGCTAAAGTTCAACCATACATGCAAAGAATGGGACCATGGGAGGCTTACCAGATAGCAGTTGTCACACAGTTGAGTGGGACAAAGATTCTAGAGGTCAAGCAGTGCTGGTAAAAGGGAAGGAACAGGGTACACTGGAGCTCCAGCACTGCCAGATTGGAGAGATCTCTTTATACCTTGTTAACTCTCCTGGCATCCAGCTGAGACAACAGAAACGCTGTTCATTAAAAGTAAAAACCATACTTTAGATGGAAATCTACTACAGACTCCCCCCTCAACACCCCAACAAAGCCTAAAACCAAGCTCTGCCAAGATCCACAGAGGAGACAATTTGGAGACTGTACCACACTAGTTTAGAGATTTGGGAAACACCTTGGGCTTTCCACATAACTATACTAACAAAGCATAAAACCAAACTATACAAGGTTCAGGATGATCAGCCAGTAATTTAGCTGTCCCCTGAAACAAGAACCAATACTCTTCAGAGTAAGACAACAGAATCCAAGTGTCTACAACATATTACCCACAATTTCCAATATTCAACCCAAAGTCATTAGACACAGAAACAGTGATCCACAATCAAGGAAAAGAATAGTCAAGAGAAACCAAACTGGAGATGGTCCAGATGTTAGCTAACAAATAATGACTTTAAACATGTTTCTAAGAACTTGCAGCTCTCCTCAATTCCCAAGGACTGGTCACAAAACCTACCAGCTTACCAAGTTCCATTAAGCTAGTCAATATTCCTTCATTTGACATATTTCTAGTCTTATAGGATGACTAAACAATTTAACAGTTTCTATTTCTGGAAGCTGGAAACATTTATGGAACTTCCTGAGTAAATAAAGAAATCATACAACTAAAGATACGCCTGAAAAAACACATTGCCTCAAGTAGGAAATCTCCCTACATCCGTCCACTTTAGACACAGAATAGAAGTTAGAAAAAAATCATTCCTGTGGCTTGAAGGACATAGTGGGTTAATGTATTAAGAGCCTGCTTACCCTGACAAGCAGGGCTCTTTTCTCCTGTCTCACATTTCTCAAGGAAGGGAGGAATGCCTACAGAGAGGTTAGTTTCAAAATAGGGACGATAAGATTCCGGAGCAGCATAACTGGGCTCAGGGGTACCATGTTTCTTCTTTCCTATTTTAAGTTTGAGCACATGCTTGCTGCGACCCAGCACCCAAATGCATAGCAGCTATGAGACAAATGCTAGTAAGTGAATGTACTTGCACTATTCACAAAGGGCATATCAAGTCTGTAGCTATATATCATAAATTATACAGAAGAGCTTTATGAACTGCTCTAATACATACACCTAATAATACTCTTTATACACAGCCTAAAAAGAAGAGTACCTGGGAAATGAGGTATAATTTCACCATCTAACTTGTATGCAACTCCAACTTTGATTTCTGTAAACATGTCCAAAATATCCAATTTGGTAAGTGCCAACCTAATTTTGGAAGAAAAGGTGACGTTAAAATAGCAAATTCTTAAAGGCCCTAACAACCAACTTGATAAGGGAGTAAAGGAAAATTCATACAAAGTTAACAGTTCCAAAGCAATTCTGAAAACTGGTTAGGATTATATTTTAAAGCATGCCACACATAAAACACTACAGGGCAATATACTGATGTAATTTTTCCTCATAATAAAAACAATGACTTAACTGATCTACTAGTGGGTTACTTTTCTAATAATTATAGTAGATTTTCACTCTTTGATAGATCCACATCCTCTTGCTTAGTTTCTCAGGATCAACCAACACATATCCACAGAGGGCTGCCTGGAGTAAAGGATGCATCTTACGGCTGTGGGACACAGCAAAACTGACTCTTCCACATGGATGACAAGATACATGTACCTTTACACATATGCTATCAATCCTCATTTCTTCACTCTCCTTACCATCAATTCCACCCTTCTGGTCAGAAATTGTCAAAGGAGAGTGAGGAAACCACATCAAGGACCTCTTCATGATACATCAAAATCTCCCAACAAACTGACTGAAAAACAGAGTTTTACAGGAAAATCTATAGAAATTAGATAAAACACTAGGTTTGAGATTCTTGCCCACAGATTACTTTTTTATCCTTTATTCTGTTATTTGCTAGAAATTAAGTGTAATTAATACAAACGAATACATTTTTACACTTACTTATGTGTACGTGTTAATAACAACTTTTACGGAACATTTTTAGTGTGCCATGCAGCATGCTATATGCTCTCATCTAGTTTTCAAAATACCCTTTTGAAGTAGATAGTACTATTATCTAGATTTTAAAGATGATGAAAAAGGCACAGAAAGATCAACTTGCCCAAAGTCACACAGCATAACGCATGGATCTGAGATTTGAATCCAGAAGTCAGACGTCTCTCAAGCTCATCCACTAAACCACTGTTATACTGCCTCCCCTCTATGTTACTCCATCTATCTACCTACCTTTCTACCTGCCTGTCTTACTTCCCTCTATACTTATACGCATGTAAGGGTATCACGATTCTTTTCTCCCAACCTTGGATATCCAGGAAAAAAACCTGGGGTCCCTCTCCTTATGTACCCTTCCCCTATATCTTGGTCCACTTCTACCCTGAACTGCAATTTCATTTGGAGTCTAAAGAGTGAAATTTTTCTATTAGTGCACTACCTCTAGTGTGCACTCCACAAAATTTAACCTGTGGTCATGAATTGTCATTTACGAAATAAATGTTTCTAAGAATACTCACGCAGTAAATCCATTAATCATATGAGCATATTTGAGCAAAACAAGGTCCAACCAGCCACACCGTCTTTTCCTTCCAGTAGTTACACCAAACTCTCTACCCCTTGTTTGTAATAATTCTCCAATTTCCTAAGGAACAGAAAATAAAACCTTAGGACTAGAATAGCAATGCTCTAAATCTAGTAGAATTATACTTAAGATCATATAACAAGTCAAAGTTTCTTAGAGATAAGCATCTTTCAGAAAATAAGTAAGTTGAAGATACAATTCCATAGAGATGATAGATTTTATGTGAGGGAGGCATTATTTGAGATAGATCCACTTTTGGCTTCACTTTTTACCACTATTTTAAAACCAAGAACATTTTTTATGTTATGTTACATTAAATGCTACATATTAAAAACTAAGTTGTTAGTAAGTATTTATTAAAATAGATAAGTTAGGTCAATTTGTTCTAAGGACTTTAGTTTGATGACTTTCCTGAAAACCATAAGGCAAACTCTCACCTAGTAGTTGCTATCACAATGTCCTTTTAAAGAGAACTGAGGTTGAAAACAATGCTCAAAGTTCTAAGCTACAGCCACTCCCTACAACCTAATTTTCCCATCTATGATCTATCTGTTCCTTAATTTACACCTTTCTGATTAAAGCCATCATTTCATTACCTCACGTATTCTGACATAATTACAATTAATAGGTTGCTCTGTCAGGTTTGAATTCCAGCCTTGTCTATCTGTGTGGCCTTGGGCAAGTTACTTCAGCTCTCCATGCCTCAGTTTCCCCATGTGTAGAATGGGGATGGTAATAGCACCCAGCTCCCAGAGTTGCTGTGAGGACCCAAAGAGCTTCTAAGTTTACAGCAATTAAACAGTGCCTGGCCCGAAGTCACCACCAAGTAAGTGTTGGCTATGATTAGACAATGTCTGCAGATCATTCTCCTCAATCTTGACTCCTAATAAGCTCTTGGTGAAAGATAGTTGTTATTTTTAGCTTCTTTCTCCTCTACCATCTTAATCCCCTTCATAAACCCACCTGTCACTTAGCCTTGCAATTACAATTACTTTTAAGCACCCACTAATCCCTCCCCTTCTGTTGTCAATCTGCTGCCACTAACAATAAAGGTGTATATAATTTTCTTTAATGTTGCTCTGATTACTCTTGCAAATTAAGTGAAATGCACAGAAGCCAATAATTCATTAAGGGAAAAAAAAGCATGATTTTTTTATTTTAAAACTTCTAAATTAGATTTACTGAGAAATAGGCTCACATTGTCTTGCTCTGTAGGAAAGGCACCAATACCAACTCTAGTTGTATAAGCTTTCACAACTCCATACACTTCTCCAACATTTTGAGGGGGCATACCCAAGCCAGTACAAACACCTCCAACTGTACAGTTCGAAGAGGTTACAAAAGGGTAAGTTCCTAAAAATAGAAACAAATGGTAAAATATACACAAATGATAGACATTATTTTAAAAATTCTGCATTTGAGTATATTCTAGGTATTTGAGAATATAACTGTAACCGCCCTTTCAAAGCCTCGATGTTTTATTCCTGATTCCTTTTGTCTGTAGAGAGATAAAAACATAGGTGGTTAAGCTACAGCTGTAGTGCTTATACTAGAGAGGCTCCTTGAGTACATGCAATTACTCAGCTCTGTCTGGTAGGCACTCACCTAATAGACTGCTAAATAATTTAATGCCAAAACTCTGGTGTTATTCTACTATGCAGACTTATATATATTTTAACACTCTCCTGTTAGTTTAAAGCAAATTTATTTTACTCCCCTGATACAAATATTAAGGTGCACCAGCAACCTGGAGTGACAACAGTACACTAAGAATTTTGTGGTATTCAGCATTTTCTGACCTTTTTATCTGTCTTCAGGGAATAATCCCAGAAATGACAAGAGTAAGCAAAGAGTGGTGTACTTCCCCCCCTCCCCAAACCCTGGCCCCAAGATCCTCTTCATACTTAAACTATTCACTATGCTAATTAGACACTGCTTTCTTTCCAGATTGGATAGGCATATTATGGTATCAAAAATACATATCTACTACACAGAAATACACTTTAATTGGCTTACTTGGAGTCAAAAGCCAATGAAATGCCAGTAAGAGCTGAGAACAACCAGATTTATCCTGAAAGATCATGTTTAGATGAAAAGGCCAACAAATTAGGCCAAGAAAGGCAGCAGTTTGAAGACGATAGCATTAACTTTTTGAAGATGGAGGAAATGCTCTAAATCCACTCAGAATCTCACGTCCAGGGAGTCAATTAAACAGACTTCCATAGATCTTAGAATGTGCATGTTTAATAACAAGGTATATTAGCTTTTGATTTTTTAAAAAAGGCTGAATTAAAGGTCCTTTCAAAGGATTCATCTAATCATTTTACAGTTCCAAGGAAATGAGGTCTGGAATTGAACCATAAACCAAACAACAAAAAAAAATCACAGTTTATAAAAACCCAAACCCACTGACCCAAATAGTGATTTCATTTTTCTAATGAACTGCAGAACTTAACACAAAATATTCCTTTTTTAAAAAAAGGGTTAGCATAAGATGACAAACTTTCATCATTCCTGAATATACAAGCAAAAAGCCTTATTTTAAAATCCTTTAATGCTAACGTTAATTATTTATATCTTAAGCAATTTAGGACTCAGTTAAGCTCCCCATAAGTCATATCTCACTTACCAAAATCAATATCTAGTAGTGCTGCATTCGCACCTTCTACCAAGATTTTCTTTGGTGGTCCGTGTAGAGCCTCATATAGGAAATAAACTCCATCTCTCACCATTGGTTTAATCCTTTCCATATAACTCTATATACAAAGACAAAAACCAAGTTCAACGTATACTAATAAATTTACAATGAAACCAATACGAGTAAAAATTACCTGACTTTGACAGTGAAAATTGACCAATGCAAAGTAGAAAGGGATTGGTGACGGTGCTTACCCTAATGCAACATTTGGATTGGCTTTGTCCCTTTGTTGATCTATCCCCCAAATTCCTATGAGTGATTTTTATATGATACAAAGCTAGTCTTTTTTCTGCTCAAAAATTATTCAATAGCTAAACTCCCTATCACTGCATATAAGGCCATGCTGATTCTCCAGAACCAGAAAAGAGATACTATTTCAAGAAAAGTAGAGATACAATGAAATTCAAAGGTTCTATTTTTTTTTTTTTTTTTTTGCGGTACGCGGGCCTCTCCCATTGCGGAGCACAGGTTCCGGACGCGCAGGCCCAGCGGCCATGGCTCACGGGCCCAGCCACTCCGTGGCACGTGGGATCTTCCCAGACCAGGGCACGAACCCGTGTCCCCTGCATCGGCAGGCGGACTCTCAACCACTGTGCCACCAGGGAAGCCCCAAAGGTTCTATTTTAACCTCACTGCAAATAATGATGACAATCTTCCAAATAGCCAAGTACTCATACTTCATAAACCAGCTTTCAGGAAAATAAACAAGAACTGAATATATTACATTATGCTTTTATATTTTGTAGGTATTAGAAAAGCAGAAGTTATAGCCCATATAACCATAAGCTGCATCAAGGTTTTTCTCAAAATGTGGTGAAGGCCACAAGTGACACTGCCAAGCATGTAAGTATCAGTAATTGACTACTAATATTCTTTTATTCTTTTCCCATTGTATTCCATTACAGTAAAATACCTTAGCAGTATTACTAGTAGATAATATCAAATACTAACATACACACAAACATGAAAAACTTTCTCAAAACACGTTTAAAGTATTAATAATACTGCTTAATTTTAGGAATTCAATTAAAAATATAATATAAACAAGAGTTTCCCCAAAGCTTATAGTATAACTACAATAAAATCTAGTTTCAACCATGTTTAAATATTTAGCCAGACTAGTATGGAAATTCCAGGATCCACTCATGAACTCACCTGAGTATGGTATACCTATTGATGAAAATATAATTCCCCCCTTGGCTCTAGTCCCCAATCTCATGCTTCTTCCTGTTTTAGTCCTTTTTTTTAATGCCTGAAATGACCGTACCATTCATCACAACCCTTGTTCCTTAAAGTCTTGGTTCAACATATAGTAGTCCCCCCCTTATCCTAGGGGGATAGGTTCCAAGACTCCCAGGGGATGCCTGAAACCACAGACAGTACCAAACTGCATACACTGTGTTTTTTCCTATACATACATACCTATGATAATGTTTAATTTATAAATTAGGCACAGTAAGAGATTAACAACAATACCCAATAATAAAATAGAACAAGTATGACAATATACTGTAATAAAAGTTATATAAATATGGCCTCTCTCTCCCTCAAAATATCTTACTGTACAAATTTAATGTCTTTTTCATCCTAGGCACTTATCATGCATTGTTATACTTTTGCAGTTTGAGGTTCAACAGCAAAACTAGCACAAATTTCTTCTTCCTTCTTCACAATTTCATGGATAGAAGAAGATTCATTCTTACTGTAGACCTTACCAACTCAGCATATGATTTTTTCTCTTTCCTGATTAAGTTGAGAACTTTCACCTTTTCACTTAAAGGAAAAACTGTATGGCTTCTCTTTGGTGTATCCAAATTGCCAGCATCACAACTCTTGTGCTTTGGGGCCGTTAGTAAGTAAAATAAGGGTCACTTGAATATAAGCACTGTGATACTATGACAGTCAATCTGATAAGTGAAATGGCTGCTAAGTGACTAATGGGTGGGATGCATTGGACAAAGGGATGACTGACATCTTGGGCAGGATGGAGCAGAACAGCAAGAGATTTCATCACACTACTCAGATATTCTCAAATTTAAAACTTATGAGTTGTTTTGCAGTTGACCATGGGAAACTGAAACCATGAAAAGTGAAACCAAGGATAAGGGGGAAATATTTTTTATCACCTATTAAGAATCTTTTTACCTAATTCTGGTCATTATTATTCACCTACTTTACTTTCATTCAGAACATGTATAAAATATAATTGAAAAGATATACCCATACTTTAGCACGTAAATATTTCCAAGTTGCTAGTAATAAATTTAAAATATTTGTTGCATGACAGAATGAAAATAAAATGGCAGTCTATTCCAAGCAACAATCCATACACTGAAATCCAAATACTTAACATTTATAATGTTCCTTGGAGGTCATTTTTTTTTTAGAAATTCAGTGAGTGGCTAGACCTAAGGCCTGCAACAATTCTAAAATGACATATCAGGTATGTAAATTCCTATTCAGTTCTGGAACTGATGTCATACTTATTTAAGAGAGACAATCAGACACATGAGAAGCAGCTTGAAACTCACCAAAGATTTTGGAAGAATGGAAGGGTGGAGAGGATAGGCAACTTGACTACTGGCTAACTCAGGCACCAACTGTGGGCCTAATCTTTGGCCAGTTACCTTACTTGTCTCTTAAGAGTACAGTGCTAAAGAAATTGACCCTATGGGGTAACAGTCCTAAATCGGCTGGTTAGTTTTAAAAGTTATCATCTCTTACTTGTCCCTTTGTTGATCTATCCCCCAAATTCCTATGAGTGATTTTTATATGATACAAAGCTAGTCTTTTTTTCTGCTCAAAAATTATTCAATAGCTAAACTCCCTATCACTGCATATAAGGCCAGCATAAGATCTATGATTTGCTCCCTACTTGTCTAATTTTATTTTCAGGTACTTTATTCTTGCTCCCTGCTCCCCACTCAATATTTTGTTTAAGCTACATCATGTAAAGTTACTCAAACATGCCACATGCTTTTAGGCTATATGCTTTTAGACTTAAAATTACAAATTCACTTCACCATTTCTTACCTATAATACTTTATACATATCTGTGTGGCACTTATTAACCACATGTTCTTCAACCTTATATTTTCAGTTCCTAATACAAAGACTGAATGAATGAAAGATCTAGATGCCAATTTGGCAAACGAGTTTTAAAAAGGACATTATAAATGTCAGAAAGCATTACCTTGAGTTTTTGTAATTCACCTTCAATGTCTATTTCCAGCGTGGGGTATATAGATTTGTACTGGTTAGCCAAAACTTTGAACCTGAAAATTACAGATAAATCAAGACCTCAGCTCTGTTTAAAAATATTCTGAATAATTTCATTTGATTCAAATGGTTTCTGGAGATAAGTGGTCTTAGTAACAATCCCCAAACTGAAGTTACACTCTGAGAAATAGAATCTAATAAAGAAGATCAGTCATATGAATAAATGATACACTCAAAATATTTTTTACTGATAGGGATATCAACAATATAATTAAGGTGAGGGGTGGGAGGAGGAGGGAATGACTGAAATCTGTAACCACAAGACTTAAATCGAATTAACTATATTGTACTGCATGAAAGACAAAAGGGGACGGTCTAAAATGACGCTTTTAAGAGAGACAGAGGCAGGCATTAGCAATTTGTCTCCAATATTCTTAGTGGAGGTGTCCCAACAGTGCAGACAGACAAACTGCTGACTGAAAATGGATACAGCGAGTGATCTCTGATGCCATCTGTTATTAGATGTGACCAACTAACGCCTCATCACTGAGTCACCATACAGTTTTCGGATGATTATCAGGTTTCCCACGGAGATTTTTTCTACAGAGATTAAGTGTCAATGGGGCATTTCTATTTTTCAAGGTGAGCTTGATACGCAATAGTTCACCAGTACCTGAGAGCCTAATTATTTCCCGGTGGGAGGACACAACAGAGTCTTTGGACCTGAAAATCCGAGGACCCTAGGCTGTGGTGACCCCACCACAGCACTGCCACATCCTCCTGGAAGCATCTCTATTTCTCATTAAAACATTCCAAACTCCAATCCTTAAATATAATTTTGGCTTTGTCTTTTTGTGGTACTGATATGATATCAACATCATGTTGTTTTCGTGAAGTTAATTTCAAATTAAGGACCAATTCAAATGTAATAAAAAAACTTTAATATTTCAAATGAAACAAAAAAGCCAACTACCACTACTCAACTAGAATACTGATTTTTATCAATTTGCATATTGGGTTTTAAAAATCCATTTGCTCTTTCCATTTTGAAATACAAGGTAGTTACCTCTCAGAGAAGCCATCAAAGTCAGAAACAAGATCACACATCCTGAGTCCACTCCGAGCAGCTTTGGAAGAATAAACTGGGCCAATGCCCTTTTTTGTGGTACCCAAACTTTAAAATAAATCAAAACAAGCTCTGAGTTAGAAAAGAAAGATGCAGTTCTTATGGTCAAATCAACACAAAGAATGAAATTTTTATGCTATTTCCTTTAAGTTTATTTTCACAGTCTTATTTTCTCTGAAATCTAAAAAGGATATCCTAATAGTTATTTTTCTTAAACTTCTGGCCTAGAATTTAAACAAAAAAGACTAGATATGCTTAAACTGCACATACACACACACACACAAAAACATACTTTTTTCCTGCTTGTTCTTGTCTCTGTTGTTCCTGGATACCATCAGCCGCTTGATGAAAATCAAATACTGAGGGGGAAAAACAAAATCAGTTGTTGTTGAGACAAAATACAGGAAAGCAACATATACTGCATTTTAAATTACTGAAGTTATAAATTCCTTAAGCCTAATTTCTTTATGACAAATTGAATGGATACATTTTAAAAAGCAACAATAATGGTGGGAGTGAAGATTATAATGCTAACTGGTATATTAATATGAAAGTATGCCTGATCATTCATTCCCATATATTGCAATCTATTCTATTTTTAGAAATGAGTCCTTAAGAGAGTGATTCTGGAGTACCCTACCCTACAATTCTATAAAGCTCAGTTTACTAAGATATCCTCTTGAAGTTCTGGACTCCAGAAATCTAGGGATTATGTTAATTATCTCCCTCTTCCTCACTGGTCCCAAGCTTCCATCACCTCTCACTAAAGCTGTAGCCTCCTAATGAGTGTACCTATTTCCACTCTTGGACACCTCTAATTCCTACCTTTTAATGCAGCCACAGTCATCTTTCCAACACAGATATATCACCACTGTTGTCTTTAAAACTCAGTATCTTTCTAATGCTTAAAAGGAAAAGACAAAACTATTTTACATGTGCTCCTTGAATAGTCTGCCCTTTCATCTTACACTATGCTCTGCCCCCTTTCTGCCCTCCCATACCATCATATAGGCATTCTTTTAAGTCCTTGGCTCCAAGGCATATGTTTTTCCTGTCTGAATACGCCTCTATGCCTTCTCTCTCTTCTCTCTCCCTCTTCTTCTCCCCTTCCCTCTCTGTACTGTTTTCCCCGAGACTACACGAATTTACATTCCCACCAACAGTGCACAAGGGTTTCCTTTTCTCCACATCCTCACCAACACTTGTTATCTCGTCTTTTTTTTTTTTTTTTTTTTGCGGTACGCGGGCCTCTCACTGTTGTGGCCTCTCCCGTTGCGGAGCACAGGCTTTGGATGTGCAGGCTCAGCGTCCATGGCTCACGGGCCCAGCAGCTCCGCAGCATGTGGGATTTTCCCGGACTGGGGCACGAACCCGTGTTCCCTGCATCGGCAGGTGGACTCTCAACCACTGCGCCACCAGGGAAGCCCATATCTCTTGTCTTTTTGATGACATTCTGACAAGTGTGATTACCTCATTGTGATTTTGATTTGTACTTTCCTAACGATTAGTGATGTTGAGCACCTCTTCATGTACCTGTTGGTGATCTTTAATGTCTTCCGTGGAAAAATGTATGTTCAGTTCCTGTCCTTTTTTAAATTGTTTTTTTTTCTCTTGTGTTGTATGAGTTCTTTATAATATTTTAGATATTAACCCCTTATCAGATATATGATTTGCAACTATTTCGCCTTTCTGTAGCTTGCCTTTTCATATTGTTGATGGTTTCCCTTGCTGTACAAGTTTTTTAGTTTGATGTAATCCCATTTGATTATTTTTGCTTTTGTTGCCTTTGCTTTCAGTGTTAAATAAAAAAAATCATTACGAAGACCAGTGTTTTGGAGTTTACCATCTATGTTTTCTTCTAGGAGTTTTATGGTTTCAGGTCTTAGGTTCAAGTCTTTAATCTTATTTTGAGTTAGTTTTCGTGTATAGCCTAAGATAGCGGTCCAGTTTCATTCTTTCGCATGTAGCACTCTAATTCTCCCAACACCATTTATTGAAAAGACTGTCCCTTCCCCATTGTATATTCTTGGCTCCTTTGTTGTAAATTAATTGAATACATATGTGTGAGTTTATTTTGGAGCCCCTTATTCCATTCCATTGATCTGTGTGTCTGTTTTTATGCCAAAGCCATACTGTTTTTTAAATGACTATAGCTTTGTAACATAATTTGAAATCAGGAAGCATAATGCCTGCAGCTTTATTCTTTCTCAAGATTGCTTTGGCTATTTTGGGTCTTCTGTGGTTCCACAAAAACTTCACAATTGTTTGTTCTATTTCTGTGGAAAATGCCATTGGAATTGCACTGAATTCCAATGTAACTGAACACACTGAATTCCAAATGCACTGAATCTGTACAGTGCTTTGGGTTGTACGAACATTTTAACAGCATTAATCCTTCCAATCCATAAGCATGGAATATCTTTCCATTTATTGGTTTCTTCTTCAATATCTTTCATCACTGTCTTATAGTTTTCAGTGTACAGGTCTTTCACCTCCTTGGTTAACAGAGTACCCTTTTCAGGTACTAGAAGGCTCTGTATAATAAGGTACATGCTGATTAAAGGAGTAAAATATGTGTATACCATTTGTGCCGCACCTTCTATATTACGCGGTATGTTAAAATGTTTACTTTTTTCTATGACATGGATTCTAAACCTTGGCCAATAGATCGCTATTATATACTATAACGATTAGTTCATCACGATGTTCCTATTTTGGTGCCCAGCCTAGCCTTTCTCATCTACGTTTGAGAGGCCAGAATAGTTCTTAAGAGCTGTTTCACTAAACTCAGACTTTGCAAATCATTTAGGACAAGATTGAGACCTTGGAGTACGCCACTTCTTTTGAATAAAAAAGTATTTGCATTTCAGCATGTTTTATTTTTTATGTTCAAAGAAGTTACAGAGGCAACTGGCAAATCACAAATAGTTGTTGGAAAGCAGGTGAGCCAAGTACCTTGCCGTAGAGCTAATATTTTCTTAGGTTTTTCTAGGTTCCAGGAAGCTAAGAGTACAATCAGAATCATCACTTTCATGAAGCTTCATCATGGCGTGGAGCCTTAATACCACCACAACTACTGTTTTTGAAAGAACAGTCTTTGTCTAAAGTTGCTTGAATATCTCTTCCATTCTCTACAGCCTAGATACTGAAAATACAAAATGCCACCTTGGGGATTCAGTCTAATTTTTTTAATTAAAGATAATTGTGTACCTTCAGTAATTAAGTTTTATTAACACCATCTTATTATTTTTTAATTATCAGAGTTAAGTTTTATTAACACTATTTTTATACTGCATTAAAGTGTCCAGTGTGAGCCTCAGGACATGTAATATCCACTTCGCTTGCTTCTCACACCTTCTCAGGTCTTTTTTTTTTTAAGTTTTTTTTTTTCTTTTAATATGACCACTTTAAGTCACAATACAGTATTGTAATCTATAACCTCAAGATTGTACAGCATATCTCTAGACCTTATTCATCTTGCATCTCCTTCAGGTTCTTACTCAAATGTCATCTTCTCAGTGAAACCTCCCTGGCCACTTTATCTAAAATTATAGTTCCCCACCCACCTCCTCCAAATGCCTGACACTACCGGTCTCCTTTCTCTGATTTACTTTTTCTCCTCAGAACGTATCACTATATACCATGGTACATTACATACCTGTGCTCCCTACTATAGCTCCATTAAGGGACTTTTATCTTTTCTACTGCTGAATCCTCAGTGCCCAACACCACACCTGACATAGAGTAGGCTTCCAACAGCTGTTGAATCAAAGGACAGACACCCAGCAAACCTTGGATTTCAAATGCTTAAAAAAATTTTAAACTCTCAGTCATTTCTCAGGTCTCTTTTCCTCAATAAACATCTCTTATATTAAAATTTTGTTATGAGATTCAATGGGAAGGGGCACAATTATGATGCAACATAGTTCTTTGCATACTTGCTTAAGTATGCTAATGTAAAGAATTGGCCAACAACTTAGTCATTTTTAAATTTCTTTAAAGGAAAATTGATTGTTACAAAAATATTAGCAATGTATTGTGGAGTTTATAACAGTGTAGACATGAAATGTATGACAATAATAACACAAAGGACTTTACAAGGAAATGCAAGCATTTTGTTGTAAGGACCTTAGGTTAAATGTTACATTATTTTAAGGTAGATCATGAGAAATTTAAAGATGCACACTATAAACCCCAGAGCAACTTCCAAAATTCATAAAACAAGAGGTATAGCTCATAAGCTAATAGTGGAGATAATATTTAAAATATCAAATCCCAAAGAAATCAGGAAAGAAGAAAAAAAACAAATAGAAAACAATGGGCAGATATAAATTCAACCATACTGCTAATTAGCTGTACTAGAAGTAAATGGTCAAAACATTCCAATTAAAAGGCACATTGTCACAATGAATAAATAGCAAGGCCCAAATACATCTTGTCGACAATAAATGAGCCATAAATATAAAGATATAAATAGATTAAAGATCATTAGAGGATGGAAAAAGATACACTAATCTTAAGAAAGCTCTAGTGGCTATATTAATATCAAAGTAGACTTCAGTATAAGAAATATCACCATAAATAAAGAGGACATTTCATAATGACGAAAGAGCTAATTCATCAAAAAACATAATTTTAAATACACATGCACCTAACAGCTTCAAAGCACACAAAGCAAAAACTTACAGAGTTGAAAAGAAATTAATAGACAAATCCACAATTATTGTTGGAGGTTTTTAACATGCCTCTCTCTCAGAAGCTGACAGAGCAAGTAAATAGAAAATCACTTAGGATACAGAAGATCTGAACGATGCTATCTTCCAATTTGATTTAATTGACATTTAAAGAACACTACTCAACAAGAACAGAGCACATATTCTAAATGCATGTAGAACCTTAATCAAAACAGGCCACATAATGGGTCATAAAACAAATCTCAACAAATTTTAAAAGGCTAAGATTGTACAGAGTATATTCTGTCTACAACAAAGTTAAATTAGAAATAAATAATAGAGAGAAATCAGGATAATCTTCCAATATTTAGAAACATAAGCATCATATTTAACTCATGGATTAAATGGAAATCACAAAAAAATTACAAAGTATTTTCAACTGAATGGAAATAAACATACAAAATGTCAGTGTTTGGAAATGCAATTAAAATAGTGTTAGAGAGACATGTATAACTTTAAATGCTTATATTAAAAAAAGTCTAAAATAAATAATCTAATAAGCTTCTAAAGAGGCTAAAAAAAAAAAAAGAGAGCAAATTAAACCCAAAGAAAGTAGAAAGAATGGACTAATAAAGAGCTGAAACCAATGAAATAGAAAATAAACATAATCAAATGCTTATTCTTTGGGGAAAAAACTCAAAATCAATAAAATGGAGAAAGCTCTAGTTAGACTGATCAAGAGAAAATGAGAGAAGATACAAATTACCAATACCAGGAATAAAAGAAAGGACATCACTGCAAACTACAGAAATTAAAAGGATAATATACAAACATTAAAAACCTTATGCCAGTAATTTGACAAGTTGGATGAAATGAATACAGTCCTTGAAAAAACATAAATTACCAAAACTGACACAAAAAGAAACAGAAAAACCTGAATCTCTCCATATCTGTTAAAGAAGTGGAATTTATAACTAAAAACATCCCCTCAGAGATTCTAGCCAACATTTAAAAGGAAATAATACCAACCCTACATGTATTCTTTCAGAAAAATGAAGGCACTAAAACTAAAAAACTACAGGACAGTATGCCTCCAGATGAAAAAGTAGTACATCTTGGCCAAGGGGGTAGGGCACCTAAGTTAGGTGCTGGGCATATTTATGAATAAAACAGCTAAAACTCTTTCCCACATGGGCACAGCCTTGTGTGAGGCATTGTTACCGATGAGGGGACTAATGCCTGGAAGACAAATAACTTGCCAGAGGACACAAACACAACATTTGGATCCAGATCCCTAAAATTCTAAAACCTGTAATTGTATTATACTATACTCCGTATCACCCATCATACTTTGTACTGACAATCTCAGGATTTTATGAGAAATTTTTAAAATCCTTGGAAAGAATTAATATTTTTAAGCATCTATGTACCAGACTAGGTTTTGTGCTCAGTACTGAAATGAGAGTTCTAATGCCATAATTACCATGGCACTTAGAGAACTGTCCTTTCAGTCCTATGGTAAGAGAGTCCCTGAAGCAAAAATGTGAAGTGGTTACATAGCAATGATTCTCAGCAATTTTCTAGTTAGTTTGATTTGATTTTTTGATAACATTATTTACTTCTTTTCACCATTTCAGAATTGACTGTACTAAAAATACATGTTTCTTATAGACATTTTAATAACACATGTTTTAAAGAATACATATATTATTATACATATTACTACTAATATCTAAATTTTAGTCAGAGCTATCCTCTCTGGGCTCAGTTCTCCTCTAACTACTTCTCCTCTAAGAAATACTTTCCTTTAAGAATATCAATTTATGGAAAAGGAAAAACCATTATTAAATAAATATAATACATTTTAAAATTTAAAAATTCACATTTGTTATAATTTAAACCACATTACTTTCCTATTATTCTGGTCCTTTGACCCCTTTGTATTAGTATTTTCTTTGGTTTTTGTACTCTAAAGGAATTAAGTAACTTGCTTAACCACTGTGCTACGTTCAAGAATGCAAACTGTCAAGTGACAGACCCAAAGCATTTATAATGAAAAAAGGTGGAGAATCCAGGCAGGAACACAGGTATCTCTCTTAACACCATGTTCTTTTCAACAGATTGATATCCATCAGCATATATTTACATCTACACATGGCCGAACTACTTACCTGATTATGTGCATTAATGTTATAAGCTACTCAAAGAGTACATACTAGGTATTATCCTATTTTGCAATCCTAAATTGTGGTATTCTGATATTGAATTTCACATAGCAGATGACAGAGGACCATTACAAAGTTCTGAAGATAAGTAGCAGCTTTCATCATTTATTCACAAGACAGAGGCAATGAATACCAAAAGGCCATACATAAAAACTAGAAAGTTAAAGATGACTCATGTTAACAAAATAAAATATATATAAGGTTAATGATTAGTGAGTGTAAGCAGATAAAAAACACTACAAAAGAGGGCTTCCCTGGTGGCGCAGTTGTTGAGAGTCCACACCTGCGGATGCAGGGAACACGGGTTCGTGCCCCGGTCCAGGAAGATCCCACATGCCGCGGAGCGGCTGGGCCCGTGAGCCATGGCCACTGGGCCTGCGCGTCCGGAGCCTGTGCTCCGCAACGGGAGAGGCCAAAAAAACACTACAAAAGTAATGCACAAAAATATAATTTTCATTATATACCTAAGAGACTGTCAGTAAGAAAAATAATACAATATTGCTTCCTATATTACAGCCCTATAGTGATGATATGTAAAAGTTTAAAAGTACTAAGGTAATAACCAAAAAATATTTTAAACTATATAGGTGACAGGCTGAGTATGATTCTCTTTTTTAATCAGAAGCTTAAAATGGCCAACAAACATGACAGATTTATAACCTCCTTCCTCATAAAAGCAAAATGAAACCTTTTTGTCCTCATCCAAATTACATGTTATTATTTGGGACTGCAAAGCTTCCTACTTTCTTTTTTTGTCTAGTTATGCATCTACGCTATTACTCTGGAAACATAAATTGCAGTTTTGCTAAAAAATAAAAAACTATGAGCTCTTCAAAGAAAAGGTTCAGTTTAAACACAAGTATAATTGATAGTTAATATTTTCATAGTTTAAATAGGTGAAATACAAATGACTCACAGCCTACTTTGCTTTATGGAAAATACATAAGTATGTATTCTTTACATGTTATCTAGTCACACTAACAACTAGCAAAGTCTTCAGTATGGGAATACCAATCTACTCATGGACAACATATACGATAATATGAACTAATATAAAAGTGTTTTGCAGTGGTAATCACAAATTGTTCTTTTCAGATTTTATAGATTAAGAAGCCTATGGCAAACTATGAAATGAAAAGGGAGTTTTCACATAAAAGCTGTATGTCAATCCAGTACAGTTTACTTCAAATAAGTTATTTTATTGATTTCCTATGCATAGTATTCAAATCTGTGATTGTTATTTGGAGGTACTTAAGAAAATTTTGATGGGGTTGCCTCTTAAATGGAGGTCAATGCTAAAACTAGAGCAGCTACTGCCTCAGGAGACATACATATTTAAAGACAATTTAAGAGTTCTAATCAATCCCAGAAGTTCTTACATGGTTTATAGTTCTTTCTCTTTCCTGGCTATTGCCTCTTAATCATGTCACTGGTAATTAAAAATGCTATCACTTCAGAGATAGGATAATAACAGGGAAACAAACTTCAAATATACTGGTGGTGGTTGAAATTAATTTTAGAATCCAGTTTGTTGTAACCAATGGAGGAGAAGGCTAGTCTGAATAAAACCTGCATCATTTAAAAAGCAGTATTATTACATTTTAGGTACAATGAATCACTCTAAAGACTTGCCCGATGGGAGACCTACTTTTACATGAGTATTAATATGTGCAAATAAAAGCTCTTTGTATTTTAATGTGGCTTATTTTTTAATAGAAGTAGTGATGTCTCATGAAATACTGCTTAAATTATTCATCTGATTAGCTAATTCTTCAGAAATAGGTAAAATTTAACCTAGCCCTTATTAAAAACAAAAGAAAAAAATGAATAAGATTCCATGTATCTGAACCCAATTATTACAATTCATCCTACTTAGTGTTCAGTAAAATTAAAGACAAATTGGCTACTAAATGCTTTCATGTGATGTTTCTGATAAAAAGACAGTTATAAATAAATGTATTACGTCCCCCTTACCAATATGAGCTCGGTCAGATATGATAAGCCTTTTTTCCCAGCCTTCCAGACCTATAGGGAAGGGAAAAGATACATTTAATTGTACATTTTGTATAATTTTTAGACTTAATTTCCTTAGAAATACACTGTTTAAAAGTCTTTTTCACCTAAGTAGTCATTTTAGCATCTTTTCTTCTGCATAGGAAATATGTTTAATAAGAATTTTCTCACCTGTCATTCATTATACAAAGTCATTCACAAATTCCTTCTAAATGTTTTGCTCTAAAAAGCTCCAAACTCAAGCCAGCCATAGCCACATAAAATACTTTCAGGAATCCAAAACAGAAATGGTAGGAAGTATCATTTTGTTGGGGGGGGGGGGGGGGGGGGTGTGTGGAGAGGTGGGGGGGTGGGATGTGAGGGAGCGTGGGTGAAGTTCAAAGCAAGGGGAGAATTTTGAGAAAAGGGAGTTAATTTGGGGTATGGCACCCTTTCCCAAAAGACAATTATAAAAAGTGTGATTAGGGCTTCCCTGGTGGTGCAGTGGTTGAGAGTCTGCCTGCCGATGCAGGGGACACGGGTTCGTGCCCCGGTCTGGGAAGATCCCACATGCCGCGGAGCGGCTACGCCCGTGAGCCATGGACGCTGAGCCTGTGCTCCGCAACGGGAGAGGCCACAACAGTGAGAGGCCCGCGTACCAAAAAAAAAAAAAAAAGTGTGATTAAACAAAATAATAAAATGTTCTAATTCCTCCAAAGTACTGTCAATTACTGCACTTATCACACTGAATTATAAGAAGATACATGTGTCTCCCCATTTAAGTGTGAATGCCTGAGAGTAGGGGCCATGAATTTTCATAGTATGGGGTCTGTCATCCAATAAATGTTCAAGAAAAATGATTGTTGAATGAATAAATAAATGAATCTAAATATTCTTCTTTAAAGAGAGTAAGTTAGTAGGCAATATGCATTCTAAGGATAAGCCACTGAGCCCTATTTTCAAAACTAGTATTTGAATATTAAAAATTAGTTGTTAATTTTGATAATATCCAAAGATTTGTTTTACAAATATTCCTTATAGATTAAAGAAGCTATTAAGCCTCCCGCTCTATAGCTGTTTTTGACATGTAACACGTATTCTAAAGTTTGCTTAGGGAATATTATAACAAAATATTACAAAGAAACTCAATAAAGTAGATTCAGCTGGGTTAGATAGGCCAGAAGGAAAAAGAGTAGGGCAAAATTGTAAAGGGGATGAAGGACAGCAGAGAGCAGCAAGGGAACCTCAAAGTGACCAATTAAAAAGGTAGACACAACACACAGGTAAAAGTGCAGGGAAGACAACAGAGATAATAGCAAGACAGGATTCTGTGAAGTCAGATTTAGTTGTTAGGAACACTTGAGGATGGATTGCTACTTTTAAACGTGAAAAATAAACTTTAACGATGTAATAGAATTTGATTCTTTAAATATGAGCTAAGGGAGAACTACACTAATGCTTTTCCTCAATTGTGTATCATTTGCATTGCCACATTCCCCTCAAACCCTAGCAAGGTAGCCTAACTGAATGTAAACAGACTTCCAAAAATCCAGAAGAGATTAGAAAAGGCAGGAAATCAAGTCTTTTTTTTTAAAGATGGAAGTGGATACATTGCATAGAATAAGCATTTCCCTCCTTTGGAGGCAGGGACCTAAAAAACCTCTTTTGTCCCTAGGTTGTAGTAACCAAGGGAGTTCCAGATTCTCTAGGAAATGAGACTAAAAGTGCACAAAATGGGCTACAGTGGCTCTCTGACTGCCTTAAGCTAATTTTTGGCTTGTGTAGAAGTGGATGCTAACGAGCACAAATGACAAAATGAACTCGTGAATTTCCTAGAGTTTTGCCACCAGCATATAGTAATTCTAGCTACCTAGAGTTTGCAGATGACCAATGTGTAAAAAATCAGGACTTACACAATGACCTTGTTATATTTGTCTTTTGTTTAGAACACTGATGATAATGAATAAAATTTAATAACTGACATTAAAAATTTTGTCCTACAATAATCTGCAATGTTAAAGTAGAAGACAAAAATGTTAAGTTTTTCTGGAATGAGAGCCCAATAATACTTCATTAAAACAACAACAACAACAAAAAAAACTGGCTGCCAGACAAAGCAGACTCATTCTTTCATACCTTTTCCTTTTTGAACATTTTTTTCTGCTTCCTCAAACAACCCAGGTAGATGAATTACCACACCATTTCCTAAAAAACAAAAACCACAAATAAGCAAATCCCAAACTTAAACATCTATATCTATAATATAGACATACATCTTCAATAACCCTTTATCTAGAATAGTAGAAGAGTGAGGCACTTTGATTAGGAGGACATTCTAATTTATCAGGGAGTTACCACAGAAATGGTTCCAAGTTTTAAACGGTAGTATAATGTAAATACATAATAGAACATAATACACAGAATACAAAACACTAAAACTACACTCAATATAACTTGAAATTTCTTTGAAACAAAGTGAAACTATTATTTTGAAAGAAACTAGTTATATAGTTTTAGGCAAACTGAACCAGATCACAGTCTTTCAAATTGGGGACTCAAACCTATTAGTGGCCATAAAATCAATTTATTGGGTTGTGATGAGCATTTTTAAAAATAAAAGACTAGAAGAGAAAATATCAGATTGCATCTTATAAGCGTTCAGAACCAGTCAATGAAACACAGACCTCTTGTATTTCTTACTATGCTTCACAGTGTTTGGAAAATTCATTTGATGATCTAACACTTTGTTATACAATTAAGATTGCCAATGATCAGAAATAAATGCAAAGTAATCATTCCAAAAAAGTTATTAGTGCTAAATGATCTAAGAGAGTTGTAAAACAGCCAAAGTTAGGTATATTCCAGAAGGTACCACTGTCAAGATTAATAAGCAATAAATGAATCATTTGATTAGAGATTAAATAAGTTTAGATTATGAAAAATAAACACTATTATCAATTGGGGAAAAAAAGTCCCTAAATTCAATTTATATACTTACCAATGAATGCCGTAACATTAGGATTAATTATTCCACTAGGTAAAAGATGAAAATCATACTCCACAGAATCTACAACAACTGTATGGCCAGCATTATTTCCTCCCTGAAATACAAGATTGGGAAAAATGAACCTGACAATAAATATGACAAGTAATATATCTCCTTCCAAAGTGAATTAATGACCTCCTGCTAAAATGTCAATAAGGCAACCCAAGTATTTGCCGTGAATACTTATTCTTTACAGGCTTTACAATAGTTTGTCTATCCTCTTTCCTTTCCCTACTTGAATGGTTATTCCTAACAGGATCTGGAAATTGGAAAGTTCAGGTTTCTGGAAGATAGGAAGACGTATCCCTTTTTATTTTATTTTATTATTATTATTTTTTGGCTGGGTTGGGTCTTCTCTTCATTGCTGCATGCGGGCTTTCTCTAGTTAAGGTGAGCGGGGGCTACTCTTGTTGGGATGTGCAAGCTTCTCATTGCGGTGGCTTCTCTTGTCGTGGAGCATGGGCTCTAGGCGCGTGGCTTCAGTAGTTGTGGTACGTGGGCTCAGTAATTGTGGCTCGTGGGCTCTGGAGCGCAGGCTCAGTAGTTGTGGTGCACAGGCTTAGTTGCTCCGCGGAATGTGGGATCTTCCCAGACCAGGGCTCGAACCTGTGTCCCCTGAATTGGCAGGCAGATTCTTAACCACTGCGCCAACAGGGAAGTCCCATATCCCTTTTTAAAAGAGAGAAAAAAGCGAACAAAGTACAGGGAACAATTAGTTTGTTATTCTGTTTCTGGCACTATGTGGAACATGTAGCAATCTAATTAAATTTCCATAATATTTATCTTAAAAAAATCCTTAAAATAGAAAAATCTATCCAGTTACCCTAACTTGACATAAATATTCATATAATTCTCATTGTCCTAAGAGTGTGTCAAGCAACTCTGTGACCTAAAATTATTATTCTTACATGGACTTATCAACGAGGATATCTCCCAAGTAAATCCCTCAAACATTGGTTATCCTGGAGAATAATTTTTAAATTTTAAAATCAGTCTCATGAGTTTGGTTAGTGACCGAGTCCTTGAATCTGCTCATCTCTGGCTAAAGTAATACACTGGGTCAAGGAACCTCTAAAGCTGAGAATCATAGCATAAACCCATGGTGAAACTTCCACTCTATGAAACAAAATGTGAAGTTGAATTATAAAAATTAGGTACAAAGGAGACTGAATATTAAGTGACCAGATAATATTTCTAAGTTTAAAAAGCATGGGGAAAAGACACAAATCAATTTGATTATGTTTAAACTTCTACACAATACTAACAAAAGTTTTAAAATAAACAACAAACTAGGAATATATTTGAACAAATAAAAGGTTTAACAACATCTTTGTGGGACATTTTAAAAAAAAAATCAAAACGATATCTCCTGAGGATGACTAGTTTAACTTGATCACAAGGCTATTTGACAAATGTATTTTACTTACTTTTACCATCATCATCATGAATTCACAAAAATGCCAGAAAAATAGGTCCTGCAAAAAAATCTTCAAAAAAGCAAATACTTATTTACACTGTGTTTTGCACTGTACAGAGCAAAGAATTCCTTGCTTAAAGACTAGTGTATGTCATGTAAATTAAAAAAAAAAAAAAAATTAAAAGACTTGGTGGTGGTGGCCTATAGTCCACAAGATAACAGGTAGATGACAAGACACAGGAAGGACAGAAGTGGTAGTGTTAAGCAATACCTCCTTCACTTGATACCATCAAGGCAACAGGTGAATATTTTTTACTATTTTTTTTTTGTAGGCAACATCTGCATATGATACAAAAGGCACAGAAGGATGCACAATAAAAAGTAAAGTCCTTCCCATACTCCACCCTCCCCTTCCCTGCTACAAGGCTGCTGTTACCACCAGCTTTTTGTGTCCTTCCCTAAGTAATTTTGCATATACAAACACATTTATACATTGTTTTATTCCACCTATACAAATGGTAGGAAAGATACACACCTGGGCAGCTTGCTTTTTTACTTAACAAATCTTGGAGCTCATTCCATAACCTTGTAAACAGAACATCTCATCCTTTGAACAGCTGCACTACATTCCTTTTTATATGGACACATAATTTATTAAACTGGTCCCAAAGAAAGACATTCAGATTGTTTCCAACCTCTTGTCATTATTAACAATGTTGCAATACACTTCCTGGTACACACTTTACTATTATTTCACACTTGGCAGGTTTATCACCAATCCTGACAGAATCTTAAAACATAGAATATATTGATCTTAACTTAGTCTTTTTTAAATAACTCACAGGACAATTCTTACTTGGTTTTTACGGTTTTCCTTTTACTCTATCCCTCATACCAATATTAGCCTTTTTATCACAACTTTTTATGATTTAGGAAACGTCCCCCAACTTTTCAGGAAAAATCTTTTCAGAGTATGAAGCTCACTAAAATTTCCTCAAATCCTAGGAAAGTGTTAATTTGTTATTATAACTATTTACTCTAAATTGTTATAAAACACTAAATTTAATGAATTTGTATTAAATTGTTAATAGTATTGGTGACTTTGAGACCAACAACCAATAAAGCATTATTATTTAAGCAGAACCAGTTTTCTTTTTAATCCATCATTTGCTTAATATAAAAAACAATCTACTCTGTAATTTTGATGTAGACCTTTAAAGTAAGTCTCCTTTACACAAAGTTATTTTTACAGATATACTAATCATTTGGTGAAATAATTTACACAAAGTTATTTTTACAGATATACTAGTCATTTGGTGAAATAATTATTAACTCGGTTGTTCTTGTGTGTAACAAAGCCTACTACTCTCTTAGATAATATCTTACCAAGACAGGAAGTAATGATGGAAAGATAGTGGCTGATATGTTTGTTTGTTTGAGGCAGGTGGTTGTGATTGGCGATAAATGACTTTAGGGCGATAAATTGCTTTAATTCTTTGAGTCCTTCCAAGTTTACATACAGGTGGTAGTTCAGGCTGGAAAAGTTCAGCTGCAGAAGGCTTGAAATCACACTTTAGTGAACAGCTTGCTCACTCAAACATTGACCAAGATTTTTCAATAACCAATGCCTTATTAAGGATTACTATATGGTTTAAATCCCATTTAAATTGTTTGACTGAGTAGGAAAATATGGTTAAATAAACCCAAGAATAACCCTAAAGTTTTCCTTTTAAGGAGTTAGGGGAGAAAATGTAAGTGCTTATTAGTATATTCAGTCACTAGTGCCCTAAGAGGGAGTTGGGGTATAATAGCTTCTAATCTTGAAACACTCACTGTGCAGAAAACAGTCCTGAGGTGAACTGAGGAGCTACTCACAAGGAATTTCTTGACAAATTAAATCTACATATATAAAATAAGTTTGAGGATAGGGTCATTTCACCAAAATCCCCTGATGAAGCTTCAAATTTGAAGTGGCTACTTGGACGCTAACCTAAAATACTTATAAATTGTGTGGAATATACAAAATTCTTCTTGGGAGCTCAGGAAAGTGTCCTGAAACAGAGGTCCATGGAAAGGTCACATGTTATTAGCAGATGGCAAAACAAAGAAGTTTCAATAGGACCACCACTGCCAGCCTCACCCAACCACAAATAACCACAAATACTACGAAGTTACAAGGGCAGATACAGTCCTCCCTCCATATCCACAGGAGATTGGTTCCAGGACTCCCACAGATACCAAAATCCAGAAATGTTTAAATCCCTTGTATAAAGTAGTGTGGTATTTGCATACAAGCTACGTGCATCCTCAAATATACTTTAAATCATCTCTAGATTACTTATAATACCTAATACAACGTAAATGCTATGTAAATAGTCGCCAGCATGGCAAATTCAAGTTTTGCGTTTTGGAACTTTCTGGAATTTTTTTTCGAATATTTTCGATTGGTGGTTGGTTGAATCCTTGGATGCAGACCCCAGGGATATGGAGGGCCAACTTGAACTGCAGGCTCCCACGTTTGAGATGGAATGCTTCTCACATGGGCAACTCTATGTAGTATGTACCAAGATAAGTAGCAAGGACATACCTGTTTAATTATGCTTAACAATTCTCCTAAGTAGCACTGGGAAGGCCAGATAAATGATGGGAGCTAAATATATCCTTATTTCTACTGATACTTTTAACAGACTCCCCAAAGCAAATTTGGTAAACTATCCTCCCAGATACAATATTGATCACATACTAATAGTTACATGTAACTACCTCTTGCTGCTTTGCTAAATTCCCATAACACTTATAATCCCAGTCATTCATGCAGCATTTAACAAATATCTCTAATTATCATAGCTGTATATTTTATACTACCTAACTAAAAAAACAAATATGTTCACTTAATTGCTATACAAACAAGGAGCTGTGGAATAGTAATTAACGTTGTTTTCCAGATCAATTATTATCAATAGAGAAAATATTTCTTAATGAATCTCAGATGTCTTAATTTTTGAACATTTTTAATTTTAAAATATCCCATCTAAAACCCCAAGAAACAAACCAACCAGTGGAGCCCAAAAAAGTGGCTGCATAGTGTGTGGCAAGTCTCTTTGAGGAAAAACCTAAGTTTATAATGCCTTATATGATATTTTTTCTTATATTAAATAACAAGAACAAATGTAAAATTCAGTGGGGAAAGATGTGAGATGATCTTTAAGTACAAGGACTCACTACTTCTTTGCTTCCCCCGCAGTGACCAATAAAGTTCTAAGATATTGTTAGTACTTATTTGATATGGACTGATTAATTTTAGGAAACAAAACTCTACAAGTCTGAGACAATAAAGCCATTCTATAGCCTCCCAAAAAAGAATAAATGCAAATTAATAGTATTAAAGTAAAGAATATATCAAAAAAAAGAAATCCAGTCATCCAATCAGCACTCACCACAATCACAAAAACATCCCTAATTTGGTGTTTATTTTACCTATTTTCTTTGACCATTATTCTTACATTAAGATTGAATGTAAATATCAAATAAGCTTCCTAATGACCAGGAAAAAAACTGTATCTCATTGAAATAAATTAGAACATTATGATGGGGGCGGGGGGAGCAGAACTAAAATTCTGTGTTCTCAAAGATGAAGA